ACTAAAAGTAAGAAGTGGTGGTAAACTTGAAAAGCTTAAATTAGCGCAGCCAAATGTATGTGACTCCAGTTTATCTACATGAAAAATGGTTATTAGACAATAACAATTCAAACTTTTGTACACAGTGCAAAAATTTTGGATGCATCCCCTGACAGTGAAATCTCTGTGAGAAATAACTGTCACAGTTTCTTCTGATCTGCATCTTATGGTTCAGCGGAAAGATATGCTACATCAACTCTAGTAGGGCTACTAGCAAAAAGCTCTCTGCCTTGATGTCAACTTACACACTATGCCAATGTTTTTATCTTGTATGTGGTTTGATAGCTGTGGTTCTAGTAGTTCTTTCCTAATTTTCATATTGTCTTTGCAGACTGACTTTAATACCTTATTTCTAATAATTATTTCTAAATAATTTATTTCTATGATTATTTCTAATAACTATTTCATAATCTTACTGAATAGTTTTTGCACTAAGTCTTAATGCTCCTTTCCAAAATCAGAAGAGGCAGCGTGATATTCTCCTAAAGTTCTAGGAGTTATGCCTTAAGACACTAATACAAATTTATGAAGGAATCAGATGTCTGCAGTTATGAAGTAGGCAGCTGGCAGGTAGGAGGTAGTAAGAGTACAAGTATGTATCACAAACTGCTACGTGGTCCTTCCAAATTCCCGTTCACTTTCCAGGTATGTCTCTGGTATTCCCTTTATGTTAAAAAAACCCCATGTTAGGCAAATGGAAATCAAACCTTACTTAAAGCCTTTAAATTTGATAAAACACCTCTACATTGTCCTGATAATATAAAATTGTTATAGGAATCCTTGGGCCATTGGTGGCATGGAAAAGTCAAAAAGTATTCTCCAGTGACTATCCAAATAAGACTTTTGTAGAGGTCAAGCTCTTTGGACTTCCCTCTGAAGTTTCTAATGTTGATAGCCCAAAGATGTCACATTTCTTCCTTTACCATTTCTAGAATCATAAAATTCTTTAAGTTGGAAAAGACCTCTAAGATCATCCATTCCAACCCTTAACCTGGCACTGCAAATTCCACCATCAAACCATGTCCCTAAGTGCCACTCTACGCACCCCTTAAATACCTTCAGGGGTAGTGACTCAACTACTTCCTTGTTCCAGTGCTTGACATCCTTTTGGTGAAGATTTTTTTCCTAATGTCCAATCTAGACCTTCTCTGGCACAACTTGATGCTATTTCCTTTTGTCCTATTGCCTGCTACCTGGGAGAACAGCCCCACCCCTACCTTGCTACAACCTCCTTTCAGGTGGTTGTAGAGAGTGAGCATCCTCTTCTCCAGGCTAAACACCCCCAGCTCCCTCAGCCACTTCTCATCAAACTTGTGCTCCAGACCATTCACCAGCTCTGTTATCCTTCTCTGGACTCACTCCAGCTCCTCAATGTCTTTCCTGTAGAGAAGGGTCCAGAACTGAACACAGGACTCAAGGTACAGCCTTGCCAGTGCTGAGTACAGGGGGACAACCACTGCCCTGGTCCTGCTGGCCACATTATTTTTGACACAGGCTGGGATGCCATTGGCCCATCCTATTTTATTTTTAAACACTTTTTTCTCTTCACCTAGGCTATCTTTGGGAAGGGTTTTTTTTTCCTCCTTTTAGAATTCTTTTGACTGCTTGTATATAATAATTTCCTCAGGTGTTCACATTAACTTTTTCTGACAGCCACAACATTGCATTAAACTGTGCCAGTAGACTAGAACTATCAGATTCAACACAGGCTGTACCATCACAAGAGGCAGCCTCTGGTATTTTGCCAATGGAATAATTTTAGGCATTTCAGGTCCAGCTGTATGACAATAAATTTGTACTTCCCTCTGAGTGTCTGACTCTCATTTTTGCATTTCTGCAGTCAATATTTAAATAGGTTTCCTAGCACCTGTTTTCAGTTTATGAGATCATTGCTTTCAAATGCAAAGCTAAAATCTATGTGGTAATCATCCAAAAAAAGAAACAGTAGTTACATTTAACTAAAGTTGGATTTCTGTTAAGATATTTAGGTATTAAAGATATCACATGAAGAAATGCCCACTTATGTTTGAGATTGGGCACTTCTATTGAAAATCAATAGCTGTCTTTGAGAATCTCTCCAAAGGTGTATCTGCATTTTTGTTAGTAGTATTTGCTTCCTTTTGAATTAGTAATTAATTATGAGAAAGTTCATGATTTCATTGTGACCACTGCCAGCAATCAAACACTGTTTCACACCTAAAAATGCAAGTGTGCATTTGGATTTACTAAAGTAATTCATTTTATGGATTTACTAAAGTAATTCATTTTATGTCTTATCTTTATTTGCACAAATCCCAAGGAGATTTGCTCACCCAGGAAGCTGGCATAGCTTATACGTGTGGTTCTTTGAGTGCAAAAAGTTCTCTCAGCAGTTTTGATCTGTTTTGCCTGGGTGATATTTTGAAATGCTCTCCCCGATAAATGGCCAAAAGTATGAATTTCAGAAAATTAAAGAGGAAAGAACAGATTTAAATCTTGACTGAAAGTTCACCTCTCCAAATGGCTCTTCAGTAATGAGCAGGGGAGGAAGATGCCAGCAGGTATGAAGTGGACCAATTTATGTTTTCCTTTCACTTGTCTTCCTGTGCAGATCTCTTCCTGTGCAGACCTTTTTCTAGATTACCATTTTCTAAAAAAATCTAACAATATAAGACATACTTTTATTATTTTGCCTTTCTTTGTCTAGTATTTTACTGGTATAATCTTTTTTAGAACTTATTCTTCTTCCTACCTAGCCATTCATTTTTTTCTACAAGATCAGATGTGTTTTGGGATAGATCATGGCTTTGACTGTATTTATGAAACATTCTGTGGGCCTGCACTTCTGCTAAGATAAATAATAACAAAAATTAAAAAAAGAGCATGGAAAGAGAAAAATGTGAAAAATGAGGAAAATGAGCTTAATCTTTATATCTCAGCCTCTCCAGCTGGTGAACTTTCAACTGGCAATATAAAATCAGGACTGAAATGCATATACACAAAGTATTTGACCTAAGTGTGTGTTGTTAAGTAAGATTATGAGAAAGCGATGATGACTGCTGACAGCTTCTCTGTGAGAGAGTACAGTGTGTATTTCCTGATGAGCTTAATCCAAAATGCCATCTTTGAAGCACGTGACAAAAAGCATAAAGACCTAAGAGTTTTATATTGAAATATAGTAGATGACAGAAGGAGAGAAAAAGGACCATTTTATTTTATTTTATTTTATTTTATTTTATTTTATTTTATTTTATTTTATTTTATTTTATTTTATTTTATTTTATTTTATTTTATTTTTTAATTGAATCCTTTACAGACTTCAGTTGTATCTTAGCTGACTTGTAGCTCCCACTTCTAATTAAAAAAAAAAAGCATATTCAGTCATGTTTCCATTGTTTTTTCTTTGAAAAATACAAGCAACTAGGGAAGTTTAGGAGAAAGTTATACACTGAAGTCTATGTTTATGTCTACATCAGAAAGAAAAAGGGGCTGGGGAAAATGAGTGAAATCAACATTAGCCTAAACTTAAAATCATATTAAGTAGTTTGGTTATGAGACAATCCAGCCAGATGATACAATGGAGCACAATTCTTCTGCCTGTTGCAAAGGTTTAACTTTTATGGGCTATCTTGCAAAGCATATTTCTCTTACATATACATTAGGTATACCTATTTGAAATATTTCATAGTGACAATAGAACGTGTCCTGATATATAGCACTAGGAAAGTGTGTGTATGTCATTAAGCATTAAATTACTGTTTGTCATGTCTTATTGAATAGAATCCACATACAAAGAACTTAAAAATAGTTAATACTTCATCAGAGTAATAATATTTAAATTGTCCATAGCTCATTTGTTTGAATTTTTATATTTTATTCTTTGCTTCTCTTGAATATGCTCTTCACATATATACAAAACTTTTGACTGAAATGTGTATCTTGACTAAGACATTATTCAGCTAATCTCTTAGGTCTTTGGAAATACTTTTCTCCCCTTAAATGAAAAAAAACCCAAACCCAAACCACCCTAAAAAGCTGATCAGACACCTAGCAATATTACATGAAGACAATTAGAAGTATCATTCTGACATTTAGCAATTAGAGCAGTGACTGTGGTATTTGGGCAGGCATCCCCAGGAGTGGGAAGACACATCTGGAGTAGAGGGTGCAAAATATCGTTTGTTTCTAGGAGATGAAGCCATTTTCCCTGCCTCAATTATATTTGATTTGCTGCTTGTTCACTTTGAACAGCCATCAGTTCCTGGACGTTAAGTTGCAGTCCCTGAGCATGTGCAGTTTTTACTTAATCATGAATTCCACCAAAGTCATGTATGAATTAAAATAGAACTTTTTTTCACAGCTGAGGTGTATGGCTGGAGATACTGTACTATTCCATGAAAGGGGGCACAAATGACAGATTTTGCTGGGAATGGGAGGGTCTTGACCATTTTGGGCACTTCCTGAGCACAGTGGATGGATTAGGCCTCTCAAAGGAGCCCTTCACTTAACTTGCATACGTGACATCTTGTATAACTGATCCCAGCGGGATTTTTGCTAAGCTACTAAAAGCAGTGCTGGTCTGGAAATAAGCAGCAGTGGAGAACCTTTGAGAGAACTTTCATGCCAAAACCCCCTGAAGGATTTATGCAGTTCTAGTATCAGATACTCTCTAGGTAGGATGTTTATCAGGTCCCAGCTGTGGAACACCTAAAGCCCACTGAGATCCTCAAATAGGAGCCTGAATTCCTTCTTTGCACACAGCTTTCACTGACCATTCCAGAAATGTGCCTTTTTCTTATATCCTGGAGTTACCCCCTCGAACCAAGGAAGAAACTATAATTCTCGGAGACTTTAATTTCATTTCTGGCTACAAGTATCCTCAGATTCGTTCCTGGTTCTCAGGCACCTCCTCTGGGACGATCACCCCCGGGGCGCTCGGCTGCGGCTGAGGCGGTGCCGCCCGCAGCGCCATGGCAACCCCTCCGCGCTGCCCGCGGCGGCCGCAGGCCCGGCCAGGCCCGGCGGTTCCGCAGCTGCTCCTGCTGCTCTGCCCTCCGGCGTTTCACCTCCGCGGCCCAGGTCGGCAGCTCCAGGATGCAGTCGAAGAGGCTCACCACAGGTACGTCGCAATTTCCACGCAGGGTATGGGCTGGATCCGTGTCAGACGAGGGGTCTGGCCCCACGGTGACGGCCCCAGGCACAGAGACGTGACAGGGGTACAGACAGACACAGAGGTGGTGACACGAAAAGAGTGAGTGAGATTTGGTTATCTGGGAACATTCACAATTGTATCTTCTTAATTTTATCAGATATTTCTTAATATTCACTGTTCAAAGCTCCAAGAGTCTCGTATAAATCTGTATTTTCGTTAAAATCACCTAGCTTCTAGTAATCAGTTTTGCAGAGGAAAGCTGACAAGAAGTTAACTGACATGTATGAGAAATAACATAGTTAAATAATACTTGAATTATATTTAAATAATTCTTGTGGTAGTTAACCTTTTTATGCATGGGTCAACATTGCTACATGTTTTTATTTTATTTTATTTCCTCAGGCTAAGTAATTTTATTTCAGAATATCCAGGAAAGGGTGTCATGCCTCAATACTTTTTGTTTCTGTATTGTAATCCTAGTTGAACCAGCTTGACTGTATTGCTTGGATAACATACACTATTTCATTTATGTTTTTCAGAACCTCCATGTATAACAGAAGAAGTGTTCGTAAGTATGCTTTATAAGGCTTGATCATTATTTTTGTTGTGCAGCTATAGAGCAAAAAAAGCAACAAAACCATTTGGGAAACTGTTGTCTCTTTTCTCATTTCTTTGCTTTGTAAGTATGGAGTACTGAGTAATTTCTTACAATTTTCTCAGACAAAATAATACTTAATTTTAAAATAATTAGGAAAAAGAATAACAAGAGACTATGGAGAATAAAGATGGAAATAGAAAAGAAAGACAATCAGGGTGAAGGAAGGAAACAACCAACTGGAAGGTTCAGCATGATGGATTTAACAGTCTCCTTACTTTGCATTTTCTGGTCTTTGCTCATAGCTCATTTTAGGAGTTCCCTGGTGTTTGTCGTCTTGTTTGAAAGGTATATATAAAACTGTAAATCTGTAAATATATATATGTGAATATGTAAATATATGTAAATCTTAAAGGTAGAGGAGCAGGCTTTCCCCATATGCCAAAAGACAAGCCAGGGGTGAGAAAGGACAAGAGAACTTTGACTGGAACTCAGTGAGAAGAAGGGATAGGCAGCTCAGGAGTATCACAAGGATGTTGTGAGGTCACGCAGGGAGAAAATTAGAAAGGTCAAATCCCATATAGAACTTAATGTGGCCACTGCTGTGAAATACAACAAAAAGTGTTTCTACAAATACATCAACAACAAAAGGAGGGCCAAGGAGAATCTCCATCCTTTGCTGGATGTGGGAAGAAACATAGTGACAAAGGATGAGGAAAAGGCTGAGGTACTTAATACTTTCTTTGCCTCAGTCTTTATCAACAAGAGCAGTAATTGTCAAGGTGCCCATGAGCTGGTAGACAGAGACAGGGAGAAGAATGGAGCCCCTATAATCCAGGAGGGAATGGCCAGTGACCTGCTATGCCACTTAGACCTGCACAAGTCCATGGGGCCAGATGGAATTCACCCAGGGGTACTGACAGAGGTGGTGAAAGTGTTCACTGAGACACTTTCAATCATTTACCAGCAGTCCTGGTCAGCTGGGAGGTCCCAGGTGACAAAGTTGGAAAATGTGAAGCTCCTCTATAAGAACAGTTGGAAAGAAGATCCGGGGAACTACAGGCCTGTCAGCCTGATATTGGTGCTGGAGAACATCATGGAGCAGATCATCTTGAGTGCCATAACGTGGCATGTGCAGTACAACCAGGGGATCAGCCCAGCCAGTATGGGTTTAGGAAAAACATGTCCTGCTTGACAAATCTGATCACACTTGGCAGGGTGACTCATTTAGTGGATGAGGGAAAGTCTATGGATGTTGTCTACTTGGACTTCAGTAGCGCCTTCGACACCATCTCCCACAGCATTCTTGTGGAGAAACTGGCTTCCCATGATGTGGACAGGTGCACTGTTTGATGGGTAAAAACACTGGCTGGATGGCCATGCCCAGGGAGTGGTGGTGAATGGAGTGAGTTAAATCCAGTTGGCAGCTGGACATTACTGGGGTTCCCCAGGGCTCAGTACTGAGGCCAGTCCTATTTAATATCTTTATTGACAACCTGGATGAGTGGATCAAGTGCACCCTCAGCAAGTTTGCAGATGCAGTTATTTTTCTCCCAAGTAACAAGCAATAGGAAAAAGTGGAAATGGCCTGAAGCTCTGCCAGGGGAGGTTTAGGTTGAATATTAGGAAAATTTTGCCACCAAAAGTTTTGTCAAGCATTGGAACAGGCTGCCCAGAGAAGTGGTTGAGTCACTATCCCTGGAAGTATTTAAAAGACATGTGGCTGTTGCACTTGGAGACATGGTTTAGGGGTAGGCTTGGTAGTGCCAGGTTAACAGTTGGATTTGATGATCTTAGAGGTCTTTTACAATTAAACAATTCTATGATTCTATGATTCTATACATAAAATGTATCTGACATATATAAATATGTACATGAGAGCATCTCCTAACTGCATATTTAGATTGCATTAAACCCGGATTCTGCAGGCTCCTTAATATGACTGGGTATGTCTGACTCCAGGTGAACTTCACACGCAGGCATGAAGCTGTCAGAGTTCTATTTAGTATAGGGTTTTATATTAACTTTCAGCTTTTGACATTTAAAGATGTCATGTTTTATATATTTGTCAAAGGTGGAGAGGTATTTATCGTTTTAGTGGGTGCTGCAACATGAAATGCAAATCTTGCAATATAGTGCTACTTTTATCCACATTCAACTTCCCCTTTGATGTCTAATAATATTTCTGTGTTTCTGTACTTTTTCATGATGGCAGTAATAGAGAAAGGTATCAAATGCTATAGATAGAAGTCATTAGGTTTGTTTCCAGCAAATACCTAAGAAATTATTGTATACCATGCCAAAATGATTTTAAAATTCCTTTCAATGTTTAAAGAGTGATAGAAATCAGGCTCAAGATATTCCTATTCATACAAAAATTGCATGAAACAGTTTTGGACCAATTTTTAGCACACCTTAACCTCCAGTTGCAATTCTTCATGAAAGGCAGCTTTTTATAGTCATAATTTAGACTGTGCAGCAGGAAAGATGAAACGAAATGCTTCCCGACACAAAAATCTAAGCTATAGTATTGTACATGCAACTCCAAAACTTATAATGTGCAAATATGAAAGTGCAACTGTGATTTCAAGTGAAAATAAGACTGTCTACAAAAAACCCTCCAAAACCAGAGGAAAGTTTGTTGTGTATAGATGCAGTAAGATCAGTGAGCAGTAAAGCTTGCATTAATAACATCATAAACATTTTATTGATTAATCAACCACTGTGTTTACATTTCTTGCTGTTATATGGAACTACAGAGAATTATATCCTTGGGAAATTAAAAACACATGTTACCTGCATAGTCGTAAATAAATCCTCCTGTTTAATCAGTGCCCAAACATCTCTAGGTGCATGGTACTGCAATTGCATTGGGCCACAGGCCTGTGGTCCAAATAAAGCACGACCTCTGTAATGCAGAAAGCCTTGCTTTCAGCATTGTCAGTGTTTTCTAGGGAAGAGCATGAGCTAACTTGCCTGTCCTGTATCAGTCACAAGAGCAACCACAAGTACTAAGGAATAAATGTTGGCAGACTAGGGCCAGGCAAACACCATCAGGTCTGGTTCTGACTTGTTGTGCAGCAAACAAGAGCCTTCCTGGGCTCATATTAAAGTATGTTAGCTCAGATTTCTTCCTTACCTGAGCCTGAGCTGTCTCTGTTTATACCAATGGGGTTTAGATCAAGATACTGCCTGCCTACACTTGATATGATGTACACTGTGCATAACCTCTCTTTAGTGCTATTCCTCACTAGTGCAGTTCAATGCTATGAACTTAAGAAAGAGAAAAAAGATTTGTGTCACAAGACCTTTGCTGATATTGGCAAATACATCAGATTTAGGTGCATTTTCTTTGCCTTGCAAGGCAGAAATAAGAATATTCTAGAAACTATAAAAAATATTTAGGTGTCTTCATTATACTGAAGACACATATCTGAAGACCAATGGAATAGTGTTCTACTTTTACCCTCTATTGAATTGAAATGGGGATGGTGGTGGTATTGAGTACAGTAGAAGAAAGATTTGGATCCATAATTTTGGGTTTGTCAACAGCAAAAAAATTCAATTTCTATTCAAAATTTTTTGAGTCTTGTTAGCAGGATTTAAAATGCAGAGGTCAGAAAGGATACAAAAACACCTGCAGATGCAGTCTTCACTTCTGATGAGATCAACAGGAAGCCTCCCAGTTCTGTCAGATTCAAAGTATGGCATACACGGCTTGCTTGTTAAGCCATAATATAGGTCAGAGAACTCCCTTTTATTCCCCAAACATCCCCAAGCAGCAGTGTGAGAGCAGAAGGTGGCCCTGGTGGCCCTGGGTAAATTCCCCTTTTTTCCAAATGAAAGAGAGAAAGGTACAATGTAGGGAATTTCTAGACTGTTAGCTTATGCACATTTTTTCAAAAATAAACATCCAGATTTTCAGCATTTAGAAGCTGTTGGGTTTATGAAGGCTTTATCTGTAAATTTATTGACATAGGATTTACCTTTGTTTGTGTTTTTTAAATTGCTAAGGATCTCAGGAGTGTGCAATGGTTGCAATATAACAGTGATGCAATGATTATATTCTCAAAAGTGGGAAATAATATTTTGCAAAAGTTTCCATGTCATATCTCATGAAAAAAACATTGTTTGAGGGAATAGTGCATTCAAACCATGTTAGCACAGATTACTACAAGCCTTGCTTTGTGGTTTTGTCTTTCTATAGGAAGAATGCTTAGCCACAGATGATATGCTTGTGGACTACTTTAATGAATTTTTGAGTCTTCCGGTAAGTAACTTACAGAAATCCCTTGCAAAATTCAAGAAACACCATACTAAAATTAAGAGTAACTTAATCCATCTTAGAAAATTTTACATTTTGCTGCTTGCTAGTTAAATGACTTTTACAATATGTCTGTGTTTCAATGGTAGCAACTCTTACTGCTCAATATTATCAGTATCTGGAAAAGTAGCACAGTATCTGGACTTCTGAGGACAGATTTTATTTTGCTAAGCTAAAGAATCACAGAATCACGGCATGGGTAAGGCTAGAAGGGACAACAGTGGGTTATCTGGTCCAACCTCCCTGCTCAAGCAGGTCATCCTAGAGTACATGGCACAGGATTGCATCCAGACAGTTGTTGAATATCTCCAGTGAGGGAGACTCCATAACCTCTCTGGGCAACCTGTTCAGTGTGCAGTCACCCACACAGGCAAGTTGTTCTTCCTCATGTTCAGGTGGAACTTCCTGTGCATCAGTTTCTGCCTCTTGCCTCTTGTCCTATTGCTCAGCACCACCCAGAAGAGCCTGGCTCCATCGTCTTGACACCTTCCCTTCGGATACTTACAGACGTTAGTAAGGGCCCCTCTCATTTGTCTGCTCTTGAGGCTGAATGGGCCCAGTTCCCTCAGCCTTTCCACATAACAGAGATGTTCCAGTCTTTTAATTGTCTTTGTCACCCTGTGCCTGACCTCCTTCAGGAGCTCCATGTCTCTCTTGTACTGAGGAGCCCTCGAGCTGCTGGCAATGCTCCTCCTAATGTACACCAGACCTTCTTGGCCACAGGGACACACTGTTGGCTCATGAACTGCTTGTTGTCCACCAGGACCTCCAGGCTATTTATGTATTTAAATTTATGTTATTAATTATTTAGATCACAGTGCACTAAAATAATAAGAATAGGAAATGAAAAAGACACATAAATACTTATTTTAAAAGTATAAGGAGTCCAATTCTATTCCAGTATCACATCATGATGATATAACAAATGTTTGTCCTTTTACAATCTTGTGGCAATGCACTCAGTGATTAATATACATTTAAGCTCAAAACCAACTCTATTTCTATTCATGGCTTTGAAGGCCTCAAAGTTGGCACTTCCCTCCTCTTCCTCTCCCTTCTGCAGCTAGAAGTGTGCAGGCTTACACTATAATCTGTGTGCTGATCCAGTTACAGTTAGACTACCATAACCAGTGACCTATTTTTAACTAGTTGCCCTATATTTTGCTCCTTTTCCCCATCAACTATACTGCTTCCCCACATTGTCATGAGAGTCAAATATATGGTCCTGCTCCTTCAATATGGCAGCATCATCCAACTTCATCTTTGTAGTCTTGGCCTTGACTATCCCCATTCTCTTCATCCCCACACCTTACACCCATACTCCCTTGCCAAGTGGCACAGGTTTTCCACAGTGTCACTCGTGGCTCCCACCCAATGTACCACAGAGCTGTCCCACAGCCTGTCCCCCTCCTAAGGCACTGCAGTCCAACAGGCTACACTACAAGAACATATACCCATTCCTGCAACTCGCTTGGTAGGAACCACCACCAGTGTTAGGAAGGGGCAGAATGTTTCTTGATGCTCCTTGGACCTCATACTCTGGTGCAGCCATTAGTGAAATAAATTCAGTTATGATTCATAACTGAATGATTTGGCTTACCAAACTGAACTAGACATAGCTGTGCTCTCTAAGCCACATCACAGATTTGTGTAAATGTACACATATAATGGAAATTGCACAACTAAAGGTGATAGAATGGGCTCCCCATGCCAATTTTTAAGCTTAAAATAGAATCGGAAGATATTCAGATGTGTGGATTTTGTGCACAGCACCAATACTAACTTCTCTCAGGAGCTCAGCCTTTATGTGCTTTCACCACACTGCAAGATTCCTAAGAATAATTTTTTCAAAGCTAGAGAGACACAGATGGAAGAAAGTGTGTGGTGAGAGGGGCTGGGGCTTTTTCTTTCTCCAACATCCTCCACCTCCCCCCTGCAGCTGCTCTACAATATCTGACTAAATCCAAGCCTAACTATTCAGCTTTTAAACCCAGGCCTCCTTCCATGTGCCAGATTGTTCTTAGCGCAGGAATACCGTCCTTTATGCCTTTGCTGCTTATTTGGAAACTATGCTTCAAGTTTTCCCCAAATCTCAGAGGACGGAGTGGGTAAGAAGTTTAGCTTGCTTAGTCTCTTGGTATCCTTGGACATGAACAGATTTCAGGACATCTGTTAGAGGCCAAAATTCTCCTTGGCCTCAGAGGGCTCCTCAGCCCACAGTCCTGGCGCAGCTCAGCAGCTCTAAACCGCAGCAATTGTCCAGGCACTCCTGATGGCTCTGAAGCCCACAGAAAAGAGTTCACAGTCACTCCTGGGTAAACACTATTTTACGCTGGTAATCTTGGTAGCTTCTAAGATGACACATGGTCTCTCTTACACATATTAACATATCTTCATGAAAACAGATGCTCTATTATCTATTTTTAACTGTAATGTTCTCATAATTGGTTTTATTTTCTCTTTGATCTTTTCCTAAGTATTTACCCTCTTCAGGATTAAGTTCTTTTAATGCCTTGAGTTCTGTGGTTTGAATACCTTACATTCCCAATTTTCCTCTCCTTCTCAGAAGGCTTCTACTAAAACACCGCATTGAAATTTCCATTGCTTTATTCTTGTTGTGCTTATATGCTGTTGCCTGGGAACAGTATTACCCAGGTGTGCTAGTAGTTAGGCAACAAGTTAAACTAAAAATATTGTGTGACTTGATACAAGAAAGCAGGGGTAGCATATGCTTATTTTAAGAGGCTGCCTCTGCATTGATTTATGAGGCACCATTAGCATACGGAAAATTGTATCACTGGGGACTTGCTATAGCAGCAGCAGATTTTTCATGGTTTTTTTTGCTTTGATTTACAGTGTATCCTTTAAGTGATCCACTTGTTATAATGATATTTAATACAATCTGACATGAATATCTAAGTACTCCAAAGATCTGCATACTGTAATGAAGGATAGTTTGTACAGAAATATTTCTGAAAGATGTAATACAAATAACCTCAAGAGGGCAGTTATTGCCAGTAATACAGTGATTTCACAGTAGCAGAAACCAATTACATGACACACAAACGAGTTACACCTTCCTTAGTAACTAATGTAAAATGAAAGATTTAAGAGAAACATTGGCCTTGATACATTTCCATTACTGGTGGTCAGGCAGCCCTAGAATTTGAATCTTTGATCCACGTATTAAAAACATCCAAGAATATGTTTAGTCAGGAATGAAAATTCAGAAGTCAGAAATTGCCATCCAGGCTCAGCATTGAAAGCAAGCGTAGTAATGTCAGTTTGTTTCTCCTGCACTCTGCAGGCTGCCTGCTGCTTGTTCCACCCCAAGTCCATGCTGGGGTCTTACCCCTCATTTTCCAGTTAGCAGTGATCCTAAGGGAGGCACGCTGCTCCTCTTTGAAACCTCAAGTTGTTGCACTAGAGACGAAATACCTAACTGAGCCTCAGCTGAAGCACATCCAGGAGATGATGCTTTGGTTGCAAGTCCCTGGCTGTTGGTTTCCCTAGCAGCAGTAATCTGCCAAGTGACCACAATATTATCAACCTCAGATTTGGTAGTTGTTCTCACTATATAAGCTCTCCACCAAGTAGTCTGGGATCCAGCATTTGCTGCAGGTGATGATTCTGAAAACAATTAAAGTCCAAGTAACAAAGCTTGGGCCTGTCTTTCTGAAGACAGAATGGTCCTGAAAACCTAGTGCTGTCAAGAATAAAACCAGACCTGACTTATGAGTAGCAGATGACAGAAAGGGCAGAAAGCAAAAAAGCAATCCACTCTGCTGCACGGTTCAGGCTCTTCACTGTTTTGAAGTTGACTTTGAATAATTCCATGCATCAAATCATCAAATCAAGGCATCAGTGCATGCTCATTAGTTTTATCTTCTCCAGGTGTGTGGAGGGAGGCTGCAGATGCCTCCCTGAAAAAGGCTTTGTCTTAAGTAAGGCCCTACATGCATGTTATGTTGAGACTTACCCAGGACTAAAACTTGTTCATGTTTTTGACATTCAAGGAAGCAAATGAAGCATTCCTGACTTAATTTCTTACTGATAGTATGTTTACTGTAAATATTCTTCTCTTCTCTCTTAATTAGATTGTGATATGTGATTGTGACTTTTGTCTTGCTCATCAGCAGAAGGGAAAGGCTGAAGTTGCTAAAGTCAATGGGAGATTTGCATTGACTGTGTGTAGTGTGAATTTTCCAGACACTTCACATTGCTGCTCAAATGCTGGTCTGGACTCTCACTGACATTTATTTATGATACAGACATACCCGTCTTAAGGAAGTTTTGGCAAAGTTCCTGGGTGAGATCTATATTCATTCCCACCCTTAACCTAAGAAGCAGCCAAGCTGTGGTCATTCTGTTTCTCTTGGGATCAAACCATGTTATTTGGATCTGAAATGGGGTGAGCATGTTTACACACTAGTTAATGGTATCTGAAGTTAAGTATATCTGAAAACTGTTAAGACAGAGAACAGTGAGATTTATATGTCTGATATCCTGGCAACATGGTGATGGATGCTGTTTTGGTTTCTGTTATGGGAGGACTGAGAGAAATTTGTCTTGCCTTCAGTTGAGTGTATAACTTCAGGTTTCAGAGTTATGTATTCTGTTTATTATTCAGCTGAAACTATACTAAATGTGTGTTTGACAGCTAAGAAATTTCTTTACTGTCAAAAAAGTGCATACAATTGTTTATTTATTTAATAGTATTGCTGTACCACAGTCTGAAAACAGCTTTTTTTTTTTTGCTTGGAGATTTTTTCCGAAGTTGAGTTTACTACACTGAGTTACATTGGTCATACTGGGTTCAAGAGGAGAATTGCCTGTAAGTAAAACAGTTTGCAAAGTCTGTAGACTTCTTATTTGTTGGCATTTTCAAGTCCTTGATCCTATTTATTGTGCTAAATTGATAACGTAGGAATCCCAAGCTTCAAGGCTCCTGCCAAACCTAAAATATTTTTTCTTAACATCTTGAGGTATAATTTGGCTCTGGAGTTTTCCCCTTTATCTTCAAAGCATCAAAAATTGGCCCAAATTAGAGAGAATGATACATTTAGTCTTTTGTTAGTGTATTTTACTTGTCCTTAAAAAGCCAAAGCACTTGCCAACTGTGGAGTAAGAAAGACATTTCTTAGTATATTAGATTGGAATGGATATTTTTTTTCCCTTTCCTTTTTAGTACAGACTCTCATCCACTCCATCTTCACTGAAGAGATTCCTCATTATTGCAGTGACCTAGAATATTGGTGGTACCATAAACCTTTCTTATTATTGTCCCATGAAACATTGTAGGATTTTACAGCACTTGGCTTCTGTGGGAAAGGTTTAAAGTTTGCTACAGAAAATTGAACAGTTTTTTATTGGATTTTTTTTTTTGTGGCTTGTAATGTGTGGGAATGGTTAGATTGTGTGTTTTGATCCAAAGTTCTTTGCATACTGAAGGGAAAATTGATTGTCTGATCCTCTCTCCTGCACTGCAACTCGTAAAATGTTTCCTATGAGAAATCAGGTTTGGGGTTTTTTTTTGCATGTTCTCAATTGATTTTTGTCATAACATTATCACTTGTTTTTGTGGTGGTGATGAGTTAAAAAGGTCAGGAATTACCTCTTCTTTTATTATGCTTATAAAAACATTCTGATTTATCATTCTAGTTTTCTTAAGTAAGCAAGTGAAATTTGCTTTTCCAGAAAGGTTTTATCTATTCCAAAATGCTTTTATATGTTAGTTTGAGAGACAGAGATGCTCTATTGGGTAGAATTTGGAATTTGTACAGAATCATAGATCACTCAGTCTGGAGGGGGCTTTGGGGAAGTCTGTAGTCTGGTTTCTTGCTCAAAGCAGGGTCAATGCTTTAGTATTGAGACCAGGTTGCTTGGCACTTACTTCAGTTGGTCTTGAAAACTTCCAACAACAGATTCTATAATCTCTCTGGACAGCCTGTTCCAATGCTAATCATGCCACAACTACCTTTTTTCTTATAATCCAGTTCAGACTTCTGCTGTTTTCTACGAATGGTTTCTTATCCTCCTACCGTGCACCTGCATAAAAATCCTGGCTCCATCTTTCAGTAATCTCCTTAAAAGTACTGTAAGACTGCTGCTAGGTCTTCCCAGAGCTGTCTCTTCTTCAGGCTAAACAGCCTCTCCTCACAGGGCAAGTGCTCCAACCTCTGACCATCTCAGTGGTCTTCTGCTGCACTTGAGTATGTGAGCATCCTCCTTGTACTGGGGACCCAAAACTGGGTGCAATATTCCAGATGCAGCCTTATAGTGTCAAGTTGACTGCCTACTCTCTGACTGATACAAGACGTATGCATGCCTTTTGATGCCCCTGGGGATGTGTAACTACATCTTAGTCCAATACCCGAAAGTCTGGACTTAGAACCACCTTTTTTAGTCAAATATGTGGTGTATGAAGTCTTAACCTTCCTATCCCTTCAGTGCATGTTCTTCTGCTCCATTAGTATATTTGTCTTATAAATGGTTGGTAGTAAGACTCCCAAAATAGCAATACACTTTACATTTTAAAAATTGTCACTAGCATCTGTTTCACTACATTAAAGTTGCTGTAGTTTTCTGTTCCACTAAATAGAATATGTATTGAAAAAACCTAGATCTAGAGTAACTTACAAAGGATTAAATAAAAGTAGATGCATGTGATAAACTGATATTGTATTTGCTTCGGTTTTAGTTTGAACAGCATGGAACTAAAATAATCTAGTCATGTCTAATCACTTAGCCCTATATTATAAAATTTGCCTTTTGTTCGATTTTTTCTGTGAGCAAGAGCATTTCGAATCCTAAGAGACTGAACTACCATGTTTTTTAGTGCACTTTCTTCTGTTTCTTTTTTAAAAAACATGAGAAAGCAAATAGGGAAGAATACATTTGGAGGCTAATGAGGTTGCACAGTTAGTCACTTAAAAGTTGGTAGCAGACCAAATGAGGTTTGAAAGGAAATGAAACATACATGTAGCAAACTGGGAGGAGGTCTGGATGTAGGGAAATCTTCTACACATAGAAGGCTTTTTAAAATGCTGTTGAGTACATCTGGAGAAAAAAACAGATGCAGAGTGCGCTGGAGAAAACTAATCCCAAAAGAGGCACAAGGTGTCAGAGAACAAAAATCAATGTGTGATTTCTGCTGAAGTTAGGTAACTGAACAGACCTGTGCGATTCAATGCACGGCTCTGCGCAGTGACGGTGCTTTTTTTTTTGATGTCATAGACACTAATCATACACTTAAAGCTCTCACTTGCTTTGTGCTTTGCCAGGCTGAGCCTCCACAGTGAGACATTATGGGATAAGTAGGGAATGTTAAAACCACATGTTGCAGCCACATGGTTCTGGGCATTGCTCTACAAGACATTGATCAACAAGGGAGCTTCAACCAGAAGCAACAAAATAGCTGACGCTAGCATAATTACTTTGGGTTTATACAGGTGTGAAGAAGAATAAAATGGGTCTGTAAATTCTATATTATATGTAACATGTATTCAGCATATGGAGTATGTCTATGAATTATGTCTATGTGTGCATATATGTGCTATATGAAAAAATTCAAGGAAATGAAAAATACAGTGTTTGAAAAAATAAAATAATCTTATTAAGTGCAGAGGAATGACAACTGTACAAACACCAGGTGGGATCCTGTCTGGAGCGAAGCCAAAATGAATTTTGGCTCTAGGTGTAGATGTGGCCAATAGTTTCTTGAGTCCTTAAACACAACATGCCTTCTCGTCTTCCAGCTGAGTGTGGAGATGCCTATATGCTCTGATTGTATATAATCTCATATTCAGAACTGTCTTGGGTATCCTCCATTACTTCTAAAAAATCCATCCGTATTTTCCCTCTTCAAGTAAGTGTACTTGAAAGATAGTTTTTTAGGGAAATACCTAATACCAGAGCTTGAAAGATGAAAGATGGCTTTGATTTAGTGTGTACATATGCAGTGGGTTTTCGGAGTTGACAGAAGTCAGAATTGCATAGCTGAAGTTGAAGTTTGGTCTGTCTCCCATATTATGCAGTATCTGACTGAACTAGTGAGATGTATAATAAAATTTACTGCAGGCCATGGGTTTTGGTAGTTGTTTGACCCACAAGTAACAATATGGTGAAAAGCCTTTCCTACATATGAAACTCTTCAGATTTATCCTCCTCAAATGCATCTCAGATTTAAAAGATCAGCTTCATTGCTAATATTTTCAGGCCTTGATTGTTGGTGATAACAAATGGGAGAATAACACTGGAGATCTGATCCTGTAGGTAAGTTGTTCCCTGCAGAACAGTTACTAAAGTCACTGTGAATTACATATCATAGACATTCTTGTACTGGATCTATTATTTGCATGTGAAAAAGAATTGCCTGTGATCTAGAATGATTTAAATTCTTTACAATTAAGCATAACTGAGAGAAAAAGTAGGAATGCTTTGGAAAGCTACATAGCAAAAAGACTGAAGAGCAAATATTCAGAAAAAATACTATTCCAGGCCCCAAGAGAAAGAAGCCTCATAATACCAGCTTGTATTCTGTAGGATGCCTCTATATTATAAAAAGTAACTTTCTTAAATGAGAGTTCCCTTATTACAATGTCATAAACTTTCCAAACTTCTTTTGTAGACTTTTGCCCAGCCAGTGAAGTTTAACTCAGATGCTGGGGTTTTTGAAGTAGTTAATTATGCCCCACGATGCCTGGAAAGCCAGCTGAAAAAAAATCTACATGATCAGAAACCTCCAAATCCCATTTATGATGTTCTAAGGAAAGCGAAGAATGACGGGCAGCTCTCCAAAATGCACAGTGCTTCTCCAGCCTTCAATATGGATCCAAATTACAACACTATGGTAAGCATCTTATAGCCCCTGAGTTTATATTTAGATCTTACTATAGAGATACTGGCAGTAATTATTGTTGTGTTTGGCTTGGTAGCTTGGGAAAAAATGTTAATTTATGTTAGGAAAACATAATGATGGGCCAAATTATGCCCTGTAATGCACGTGTCTAGCAGACAAGTAAATGGAATTACAGATGTACATCCTGTAGCACAGAATTTTGAAGATTCTGTAGGGCAGGATTCAGCTGTGTGGTCTGAATACTTTTTAATATTAAAAGAAAAAATATTATGACAACAGTTACTTTACTAGTGATCCCTGGAATGTGCAAATTGACTGAAACTAATGCAGCTCAGTCTTTCCTTATTAATTAATTTCCTTGTGTGGCTATGAGCTCATCTGTGGTCTGGCAATACATAAGTCTCTCTTCCATTTATTCCCAAAGGATTTACGTAGTTAACATCAACTGAAATGGCCAGAAAAAATAATTATTGGCAACAAGAAAGCTAAATTAATGGAAAGATGGATTGGATTTTAGAAAAGAAATCTTGTTTCATACTTGCTTAGACAGTATCAACTTTGGTATTCTTACCTGCCTACTTTCAGGGCGTCTCTTTGGCACCAAATTAGGCAAGTTAAAATCAGGAGTCGAAGCACCTGAGAGAACACAAGTTGGTATAATTAGATGTGGGAGTTTACCTTTAAACAGTAGCTTTGGAGGAAATAAAATATTTCACTAGAATACTTTGTTTATTCCTTTCTTGCTTACCTCGGATTGATGTGACTGACATGACATCATTTCACTCAAGGCCAGCCCAAGGTCTTGCTACATTTTTAGCAGTGGCTGCTCTAAATTATATCATAGCTGGAAAGCTGAGAGAAGAGCAGGGAGTTGTAACAAACTGCTGCTTTGCCCAGCCTAAGCTTAATGATTTTCAGAAAAGAAAGAGTGTTGAGAGAGGTCAAAAGGCAATGTTGTTTAACAAAATGATACTAATGTGATTTGCAATTGTTTGCATTGAAACTGGACAAATGCTACAAAAGGACAAGGCCCACAGACATCCCTACCATGTGAAATAATTTTTTTCACAAATGCTTTGCTTGGGAGCACAAAGGCAGAAGAGCTGTTCTCAATTTCTTATTTGCTCTCAGCATTAAACTGAGGAAATGCTGTGAGCTTGCACAAGTGTTGCTAACATTGCCTCTTGGATAACCTCACATCATTGCCACTGGGCACGGCCTTTCTTGACAAATTCAAAGCCATTTCACTGTTACTTTCATCTTTCATGTGGTTTGGAGCAACAGGGCTTCTGCATTATTTAAGAATCTGTTTCTTCCTCTGGGCCATTTTCCATAAATGGGGAAGCATTATGGCCTTCTGAGGAGCAGTATGCCTCAGTACCCTTTCTTCTCCGTTGGTGGGAAAGGGTGATATTTGTTCCTATTTTTGACTCCTCCTTTACTGGATGGGTAACGAAGATGCCTCATCCAGTTCAACTTGGCATCTAAAGTCTGAGCTGGAGCAGAATGGCCTGTGAAACAGTATGCCCAAAATGGTCACTGCAAATACATAAGGTAAGAGAAGATAGCTTCATTCATTGTATTACAGTGACTGATCCAGAAGAAGCCACCCCAGACCAACTACATCAAGTAGTTCAGTCCAAATCCAATAGGATTTGATCTTTCAGGCATCGGGTGATGGTGTCTGGTTTGCTTTGGCTGCCTTCTTCACACTGACCGAAAAGATGGCAGTTGCTTTGAATGTTACATTGCTTACAAAAGGTCACCTTGAGTGGCCATCACTGGCAGGTTACTTATGAAAAGGAGCTATGATTGGAAAGTCCTAGTAGGCCTTTCAGGGTACAGCCTGAATTTAAGCACATCTTGCCTAAGAAATACATGCAGTGGTATTTTGCTGTGTATTTTACTTCCCTCTCAGACAGTTACAAATTTACAGATAAGCAAAAGTTCTCTGCACGTGTGCTTGCACATTTGCAAATCATTGATATGAAAGTAAGTATCTTCTCATCAGTAGTGAAAATCAGCTTTGTGTAAAATGCATTGAGAAAAAAAACCTGTGGGGTTGAGTAGAATTGATCACAACTATGGAGAGAAACTGGCTGGTATCCCACATATCTTTCTTCAGAGAAACCCCAGTCCAGCAAAGCAGTTAAGTATGTGTTTAACTTTAATCAAGGGAAGTTAAACACATGCTTAAACTTAAACACGTGCTAAAAGCTTTGCTGGATTGGGTCCTAGCAAGGCCTAAGGCTGACTGGGTAAGGAAGCTAACTAAGGTAACAAACCCCATCAGATTAAATGTAGCATCTTTCTCTGGGGATAGGGAAAGAGCAGAGATTCTTTCCTTCTGATATTACATATAACTTTGTGTACCAGCCATTTACAGACGTATGTTATGAATCATTCAGATAAAAAACTAGGCTGTAAGTCAGTAAATACATAAATATTAAATGCCAAAATAAAGAAACTATCTTCTTTATTTCAAAAAAGCTTGTCAGTTGCCAAAAAGAAGCATACACTATGTGGTTGGGAGTAATTAGTCTCCATCTCCACAAATTACATTGTATGAGCCACTGCCAACATAAGCTTTCCATATTTTGAAATATTTTCTTCTCTCTAAATGAAACCACCCACTTTCTGAGTAATTCAGATTTTTTTAATCCCCTACAGATATATATGAGGCAGAAATAACCCTTGCCCCTAATGGAATATTAGCTCATAGAAAGAAAATTTAAGCTGTGATTTACATAAACTGATTACTTGATATAGCAAGTAGCATCCATCCTTGCCCACACTTCACCTGTTTTTATGGACAAGGATGATTATTGCACTCTTCAAAATCATTAATCTCATCTTCACTAAAATGAAAAATAAATCTCAGATAAATAAAACAGGTCATCGCCTAAGAGTGGAAAAAGTATGCTATTAAAAAAAAATAAAGTGTACTGTGTGTCATTTCTAAGGGAAACCGATATGGAACACTGTGGCCTATAGTCAGAGATCTTTCTCCCTGCCTAAGTTCCTACACATGCATTTTTGGTTAACTGTCTCTGTGTAGCTTGCTGCTCAACACTCCCTTTCACTCCCCAAACCACTCTTTGGAGGCATCTTCCTTTCTGCTTTTATGAGGCACTGAGGCTCAGGCTGCCTGAGCAGAAATCTGTGGTGGCTCCAGGTCCTAAGACACTTAGGTTTCCACTATGAGAATTGCTGTGTGCAGTGCAGTTTTGCAATGATCAAACATAAAAATGCGAGAGGCAGTAACTGATTGGATTTCTATTTGTTTGATTTTGTTTTTAATATCCACAGCTCTGTCATTTTGGGAATATAACTTAAATTAAGGGTTCCTTACTCTTCAAATTCTAGAGGAAAAATGCAATAGTTAGTTATAAAATGTGATAAAGTCAGAAAAATTAGCAATTTGCTGTTGTGGAAAATTTATGTACATTTAATTTGCATTTGGAATTGTACAGTAAAAGCACAATTCTTCAGAAATTATTTCTGAAGAAGAAACACTCATGATTTGTTACAGAAGTTGTACTCTAATAGGTGAAATAAGATTTAGACCTTTTTAGCTTTTAATAGGAAAGTAAATTAGCTCAATTGTCCCAACATGAAGGTGATGTTCACTGTATATTTATCGTACCGAGACAATGCTTCTGTAGAAGGGGGATGGAGAGAAGCCATGGCCAACAAAACAAGAAAATCAGGAGTACTGCAAATTTTGGCATTTCTTTTTTAATAGTGTCTTGATCGAGAACAAGCAATTCAGTGGATTAAGAAAGAAAGGCTTCCAGCATTTCTAGGAAGTGACTGTTACTTTGAATACAGGTATTGCAATCTTTTATGCTCTCTTTCAGTTTTAAATTTGTACATTATCCTCTTCTGTTTAATTAATCTTGATAGTACTCTTAAAAAGTTTTTACCCTCCTCTCATCCTGTTTATTTTAGCATTTTAGTGATCTGGATAAAATAAATTCAGTGACTTTTTTCACTCGTCATTCTGTACTTTTCCTTGACCATGAATTACATCCTATACTTCACCATTATGAAGAGAGTAAGAAGGGGACTTACTGATTTCTAAATTGCTGTTCCTCAGAGATATCATGGTAGCAATGCATCTTTTTTTAATCAATATGTAAGCCATATAAAGAGGAGTTATGAATCCATGAAGTCCATTTGGAAAAAGCACTGAGTCCTTTTCATTTCCATTATTAGTTTTGTGTCTTTGGGCCCACTGTCAGAGTTCCTTTAGCAAAGTTCTCTGTGGGATGCCATGGCATAGCTGGATGATTTACTGTTATAAACTTGCTATATTTTTCCAGATGTCCTTTCAGCAGATGTTCAGGAGTTTTACTGTGCTTTTTGGGAGGATCTACCTCTGTATCCCTTAAGGTTGAGTCTAGATGCTGCTAATTGTAGTGCCTCTCCAAAAGGAGAGGCAGGCTGGCAGTATGGTTTACAAAACTCATGTTTGCTGATTGTAATGACAGGGTAGTTACCGGGGTATAGACTTCTACAGCAAAAATTTCAAAGTGGTTTTTATTTTCTATAACCTGATGACTGCACTTAAATTCAAGGGGAAAAGTGTGCAAAGAACAAGGAAACCATGAGAAAGTTCCATTTTACCTTTAGCAGCAGCTGCTTTATACATCTCAGCCTCATGAAACACTAACTTTTGTCTTCTGCTATAGCAAACTATTTATTTGATCAAGCAGAGTTGCCCAAGAGAATTACATAAAACTAACTTAAAACATGTACCTAATTTCAGTTGCCATCAGTGGTTCAAATGCTTTCCTGAATCAGAATCAGGATAAATTTAGATGCTAGAAGGGAAACTTGCATTTAAAGATGAAGGCACTCCAACCATAGAATTAAATCCTATTTTATCTCAAGTAGTGGGCACAAATGCAACTGAGTATTCACTTGGTTGTAGGCTCAAGCATAGGCTTCGTCTTTCTGTGGTTATGTACTTCTTTCTAACTTAATTAAGTTCTGCCCCAGTTCTTGAGCTCAGAGCATCCTCACTATCATCGTGTGATTCTAAGGTTACCTTTCCTGAACATCACCAGGTTCACACTAACATGAGGTAGCACTGGAGTGCTGTTCAGTACTGTGAAATCCTCATACAGCAACCAGGTGAACATGAGAGTGCCAGCTGTCTTGGTATTGTCTGAAAGTTCAATTAGTATGATCAATGCTGTGGCATTACTGCTGGAAGAATGTTTGTATCAGGAACTGGAGATGTAGGGTCTGGTGGTAATACAGGGCTTCTGCAATCTGGGAGAGTAGTTTTATTTTAGTGAATAGAATGTTCAAAGGCTTCTTGTCAGGGCTTGAGACTGCATAGATGCATAAAAAATCCTGACTGAAGTCAGTTTTACTGGTAAAGCTTGATAATGCAAACCCGGCCACTATCTGTAAAGCTGGTGAACTATACATTGGCAGTACTGGTATTTACATATGTAACAGCAGGTGAAGGCTGAAATAATAAGGAGTTGGACTCAATGATCCTTGTGAGTCCCTTCCCGATAAAGATATTCTATAATTCTATTACTCTAGGAAAAAAGCAGATATGAAGTTCTCTGTAAAAATTCTATTTTTAGATGGATCATGTTTTTTAATTACCTATTCTATGGAAAAATAAGCTGTTTCTCTGATTAAGAGCTAAAATTAACTATTACCTCATCTCAACATTTAATTTCAGACTAGCTAAATTGATATCCCAGGTAGAATGGAGCAAGACTGGCATGAATTTCATTATAGATAGTGACTACTATCCCTGGATAAGGAAGCAAGACCTAAGTTCCCCCCATCCTGAGGAACATGACACTTCACTGACTATGAAGAAGTTCTATGTATCACTTGGCCAGGTAAAATAAACACATTTAGTGTTTATTACACATGGTTGGGTGTAACATCAAGATAGATTGAAAACATTGGGTAAAATTATTGTAACTCAGGTCACAACCTAATGGGACAACTGATTCCTGGGCAGCCTGGTCTAGTGGAATGTTCCCTGCCCATGGCAGGGTGGTTGGAACTAGATGATCTTTAAGATCCCATCCAACCTAAACCATTCTATGATTGTATGATTCTCTGAATAGCTCTTATATTCAAAATTCTTTGCAGTATAAAAGGAGGTCTGAGTGTTGTAATACAGCTTAAACAGGAGCTGTGTTACAAGTATGCTCAGCTGCTATCATACAGCTCTCTTCACTGGCAACTATCCTTACAGAAGTCTACACAGACTGCACAAAATCACCATGGACAGTAAGCCCTCTGGTCTCAGAAACAGTGCAATAAATAGAGAAATTTGAATTGTTCTATCACATTTCTTTTCCTAGGCTACGGTTTCTCAGGTGAAGGATTGGTTTACATTAGCAAAAGAAGGTGATTCCACGAGAACTACGGATTCATCTACACACCCTGTAACTTCTAGTCAAATTCAAAATATTCAGCATGAAAGAGACAAATCATTAAGTGAAAAAGATAGCCTCCTGGGTAAGTAACAAGTAACCCTATGGTTTGTAACACAACTCTGACTAGGTGGAAAGAAAAGGCATTCCAAGGAATTGTTGCTAATTCCATTTATTACCTTCTGAGTATCACATGGTATCTGAGGCTTCAGAACAGCATTTTTAATTTCTGTAGCTACAACATTAGGTGAAAATTTGATCTAGTAGCCAAATAATTTTGTGATAGTAGTAGCTTCTTTTCTTACATATGTCTATGTATATATATATGTTTCAGTTGAGGGCTTTTTGGTTTTGGTTTTTGTTTTTTTGTTCCATTTCGTGTGTTTTGAAAGATATCCTTGTTTAGATTCTTTGGGTATTTGATAATGTATAATTTGTGTTGCAGCCATCTTCTTAGGGTATTTATGTTGGGCACTTAAGAGTCTTTTGACTGCCAATTTTTATGAAGCTTATAAGATGTAATCATTTGGATTCCTGTCTATCTTCAAATTTAACTGAAATTGTTAGCAGGCTTCAGAGGTTCTGGGAGAATGATATGCATACAGATGCACATATGGACATACACCTGATTGCACAGCCTTGCTTTTGCTTTTTACGCAGTAGCAAGATGAACAGAGAAGCCTCAGCTCATATGTTAGGAGCTCTCTCTCTCTCCCATTCTCAGAGGAAAACAGCAGCCATTCCACTTTGAGACTTGTACTGCTGGGACCTTGGAGTCCAATGGCTGAATGGAAAATTGGAAGACATGATAACCCCAGAAGTCTGCCTTCTTCCCCAAACCATGAGGATCACCCCAGAAAATATATTGCTGATGTATGGATTATTAATGAAGTTATTCAAGTCACGCTTGTTTGCAGCTCATGACTCTACCACTGTTTTGGAGAGGTCACAAACACACAATTCTGCAGACACAGTCTGCAATTAGAGTTCAATAGCTGAAGGTATTTGCTTGGACAATCCAATCTAAATTCCTTTCTCATTGCTTCAGTTGGATCAGGGTTATCAACTAATTCTTGAACAACCCCTGAACCACTTCACTTTTTATTGCTCCAGAGCTGTGTATCCCTCCCCCCAATTGCCCCAGGTCTCCATGTTTCTATTTCATAGACTTGTGTTGAAAAGCTATAATTTTTCTTTGTCAAGTGAAAACATTTGAAATAGTTTGGAAATAAGAAAAGATATTTTAATCACACTGATTTTTATATTAGTATCAACATATTATGCCATAGACACTAAAGAAATTAGGTAAGTGCAGAGGAGGGGATCTCTATGCCATGTTCCTAATCCAGGTGACTGTCTGTGACAGTGACCAGCACTGGTTAGACGTGGCTTATTTTTGGAAGAAATTGCAAGGAACGTCTAACTGCCATTGCCATTTATTGACTAGACCACCACAGAAGGTTACACAGACTGATAACATTACAAATGTGAATTTAGTGGATCTGAGAGGTTTAGCCCTTTTCTTTCACAGCCCCATGTGGTGCACGTGCTCAGAGGTTGTAGCAGTCTCCTCAGTGACAGTGTTTTGCCTTAGTGATACAATGGAGCGTGAAAGGCTACAGCTTAGCTTTAGTGACATACAGAAGATGCAGATTACTCTGTAGTTTAAATGCTGTATTGATAGATGATATGAAGTTATTGTAAAGTCTCAATTTAATTATGACTTTGGGGTTTTTTTTCACTTTCACTTAGATTCTGCTGCTGTTTAGGATATCTGTACTTATTCTGCTCAGTTTTACAGAACTGACTTGTACAGTGAGAGCAGCATTAACCTAGCTAAGCAGTGTGTACAGTCAAGGTCATCTTTGCTAACATCCTTCAGAAAAAATCAATTTTCTAACAGTCTGGCAGAAGTAGAAAAGATATTTAAGCAAGTTAAAGCAGTAAGTTTCTTTTTTAGTGACCAGGATGGCATGGCATGCTTAATGGCACAGGGTTGAGGAAGGGTTGGGTAAAAGGAATTAAGTAGAGGAGTGTAGACCAAAAAACCAGGGCTGGTCACTGTTCTGAACTTCTTAGTTATAAAACATCTCTAAATGAAAAGAAGCCATTTCTGGGTGGCAGACTGGACTGTAGGATTGTTAAATGTTTCCAGAGCCCTAGACATAATTATTTGTTTGGTCATCCTTCTATGTCAAGATTTTACCCTACTGACACAGATGTTTGATTTGCAGTAACCACAGAATACTCTGAGTTGGAAGGGACCCACAAGGATTGTTGAGTCCAACTTTGATGTGAATGGCCAGTATGAGGATTGAACCCACAACCTTGGTGTTATTATCACCAGGCTCTAACCAGCTGAGCTAGTCTCAAGATCAACATAAGCAGATAAAGAATCATCATTTATTAGCTTCCTCAGGCCTAAAAAAACCCTATTCTGCTATATACTGTGGCTTTGATCAAACTATGACCAAATGCTCAGGAAGGAATCAGGCTTTGCAGTACATCAGTGTGGTTAACTGATGTTGAGGAGCTGGGATGTTTAGCTGAGCTAACAAGAGAACTGGCTCCAGAGGGAGCTGTTCCTGAACTCTGCTGCTCTGCTGGAATTCAACGGGGAATGAGTTTCTGGGTCATGGGGCTGAGTTTCTAGGCATATAGCAATGGGAGAAGCACCTCTGCTATTCCCTTCTCTGCAAAATGAAACGATGTGATTGTCCTGCAGCAGCAAAATATAAATATGTTGCATTTTTTAACTTGGCGATGTTAATATGCAAGAGAATAGTCCTGAATCAAAAGGGTGTTCAGTGATCTTTTCTGATTTAATGCAGAAGCAGGTTCCCTGTCTGAGGAGTGCCAACAACAGAGTTTCCTTTCCCCTTCGAGGACTGCATCCGCAAAAGCTGACGCTGCTAATGAGAGATCCAGCAAGGCTGAGGAGGGCTCTTCTGTGGCCATTTCTGAACCTCCTTCCCACAGGCAGTTAAGAGTTTCTCTAGACCCAAAATGGGGCAGTGCAGCAAAAGAAGAAAATGAACAGGAAAGCACAACTTTTCAGACACCAGAAAAATTCATGCCAGCTTCTACTCAAATTGTAATGAAGGAACCCATTTCAGAACTGACTCACCAGCCAGCTGCTGACACTGTTGCCTGTAGTACTGCAGAGTCACTCTTTAAACAAAGTTCTTCTCCACTTACTGCCTTGGACTCCAAGGGAGATGTAAGAAAACGAGATCCTGAAGAAGTAAGCTTATGTTCAAGTTCTGAAAGTGGTGGGCCTGACAGCAGGGCTGCCTGGTGTCTTAGTCATGGGACTTATGACACTGGCAACAGACATGAGTTTGAAAGATTCAAGAAGTTCATTAAAGGAACACTTGGGGAAAGGTACTGGTGGCTCTGGATGGATATTGAAAGACTAAAGGCTCTTAAGAACACTACGAGACAGCAAAGGTATTTCTCATTATTTAACGGTTATCCCTATTGCTTTAACACTTGTAACCCAGCTCGATTAATGCAAGTTTTGAGATTTCAGAGTAAATTGTAATGTTTGAATAGAATAGACACAATTAAAGTAATCATGCGTGTCCTGACAAGGTATGTCTGGAATGACTCTGCTGAAGCTGATAAAACTCTTTTTGCAGAGTCAGGTTTGCAAAGCTTGCAGGAAGTCAGAATTGCCATATTATTAAGGCTGTTTCAGACGGAGATTTGGAAAACAGATGGCAACAGAAAAAAAAAGAATAAAAGAAATTAAATTCACAATTAGGGCATTCAGTATGACAAAGTGCTTTAATGAAAGGCTCTGCTGGATTCAGATTGTCTATTCTAAGGCACTGTACATTTTATCTTATACACAACCTGTCTCTAATTTGCAGAAAAATTGTTTTGGCTTCTGCCACTTGCAATTAAAAACATGTTGCATGACAGCACTTTAATCAGTAGGATGAACTGTACTCAGTTCTGTACAGCATCTGATACCTGCTTATGTGACTGTTTTTGTTGACTGCAGGCATCTCAGTAAGATGAAAAAACTGTACCTGCTGAGCAGTGGAGACTATTTCCTCAGTTCAGAAGTATTACTCAGGCTTGATCTACTGCATGGAGATCAGTGGAATATATGGCATTTAAGACAGATTCAGCCTGAAGTAGTGAAACCTCTACTTCTTTACTGGTATGAATAAATGGACAGGAATTAAAATTCTATTGTTTAACTAATTTCCATTTTCTTTGAGAAGCCTATTAGGTTTATTTCAGCTCACTTATCCCATTGCAATTATTGGAAGCAATGTCATTGTAACACATGAATTTTCAGTTGAGCCTAAACTACACTGCAGTCTGCTGGAATGCCGTGTAGATCTGCCTTACTGAGCCCTTTGTATTTTTCTGATGGAGCATCTGCACTGCTCTGTGTGTCTCAACTAAACTTTAATCTCTAGCGTAGGGAAACCTCTCCAGGCACAGAAGGTAATTCTGTCCTAATCTATTCCCCTTACTGCTCTTCTCAAATTTCTGAGGATGCTCTGTATATACGTCTATGTGGAACTTGACACTGAGACTTTACTGTTCAACGTCTGTCATAAAAAATACCTTCTACATATTTACAAGTTAAGTGAAGATATAAAATCTAACCTCTTTCCAAAACATAGGCTAAATTTTTGAACATGTTCTCTCCTCCCCGAGGGGGATCAACAAATTGCAGGCATAAACTAATACCTGCAATTATGAACTTTGCTGTGGAGCCTCATATGGCTTGCAGTGACTCTGAGATTAGCTCAGTTGGTTGGAGCATGGTGGTAGTAACAGTAAGGTTGTGGGTTTGATCCCTCTATGGACTATTCGCCTAAGAGCTGGACTCAATCTTTGTGAGTCCCTTCCAACTCAGAATATTCTGTAATTCTGTGGTCTCTGTCCTGTGGCCTACAATCCTATTCTTTGCTGTAGGATGGATGGGGCATATCCTACTGCAGACTCATAGAAAGGCAACTATGTCATGGTGCATATATATTTATGTATATTTTGCTTTTAAATTTGGAAGCGTGCAGTGTCTAAACATATCTTTAACACTAACTGATTTTTAATTCTAGCTACATGTAGCACCGTATTTTGATACAGTAAATGACATCACTGGAAAAAAAAAAAAAACCCAAACAAGAAAGAAGCCAAATAGCCCAGTGTTTCATGGTTTTGGAAAGTTCTACTTATTAGCATTTTTCTCCCTAGGGGCCCCAGATTTTGTGTCACTCATTCAACAGCAATAGAGGCTGCCAGTGCAAAACTGAAGTTCTGGCACACATGTCAAGAGAGACCGAGGGTGGACATTGATCCTTTCCCACAAATAGTGTCATTGTTACCGTTGACCCAAAAGTCTTGCATACCTGGGATACAACCTTCCCTTCTTCAGGTAAGCAGGATCACAACATTGAAAAACAAAGCTTTATCCATTAAAAATAATGACAAAACTCCTTAAATTCAATGGAGGAAGAATATGGTACTTGGTTGTTAGGAAGTCAAGATTTAGCAAGCTGGTATATTGGAGATCATTACATATAAAAATGCAATAACATTTTAGTATATGTTATGCAACAAATTCCCATACATGGAGTCACATTATCTTCTCAGTTACATCCTGGCTATTTCATAAGTCCTTTGGATAGATATTTTAGCTGAAAATTCTCAGAATTGAAAAATTAAGTATCTAGCAGTGCAGATTCTGCCCTTGAACCAGCCTTATCTTAATCCGGAGTCATTCATACAACTTCACTGGAGTTACCCTGAATCCATCCTTCATGTCTGTGAAGAGGGCAGAATTCTGCTCATTTTCTATCACGACAGCCCTTCAATGAGCTACATGTGGTTTTTGCTTTCCACAGAGGGTCATGAGCCATACAACACAGAACTTTTCACAGTGTGTAGCTTGCGGGTGGCCAGTTTAGTTTTGACTATTTTCTTCCTTGAAAGCCTGAATGTGAGAGGTAACTGCAATGAAGGTTTTCAGCAACACAGTGTTAAGCCTTGGGACACAAGGTACTTGGAAAATGGGAATTGAAACTGTGGTTCCAGTATCAAGAACTGAATGGGCTATTCCATAGATCTGTTAACACACACGCCTCTCTTACTTTGAGTTGGATAGTTTTAGGCTGCAGTTATTTCCTTTGAAATCTAATTCATGGAGATAATGGAGGAAAACAGTGTGACAGATTAACTTTTCAGAAGAAACTGGGTTCAGGAGCTAGATTCCTGTTGCTCACAGCAAGAATGGGAGCAAGAAGCACCAGTGTCTTACAGTGACCAGTTCCAGCTTCACAAGGTGGTCCTGATGACCCAGGACTAGCTGTAGGTCAGGCAGACAGGATCCTAACTCTGCAGGTTTTCCATCCCCTGTTGAATTCAGCACTTGACAAAAAATATGAACTGACACCATGAACCTCACAGAATCAGCAGATGGCCCATTTCTTGCTCCTACTTTTTTTTCTGTAAAAAATTTTGACTTTTGGATCTTGCAGTTACTCTGTGCTTGCAAGAGCTTAGAAAGAGCAGCAACTCAGGGTGAATTTCTGAGGGCACTCTGAATGCACCTGGCATCTCCAAGAAGTCATGATTTTGTTCAAAATAATCAGTGATGCTGTGGCAGAATGCCCCCTTTCTCTCCAAGTCTGAGTGATTGTTTCTATTTTACAGTGAGCTAACATAAGGTAATCTTTGTAAACTTTCACAAAACATGTTCACATGCCCTTCACCTGACATCCTCTGTAATTTTATATAAAGTCCATGTAACGTATTTCTACCTGTTAAAAATGTAGTTTTTAAGCTATAGTGGTTATTAAGGTATGCTGAGAAATCTTGAAAGATATTCAGAGATTTTTGCAATTTGAAGTTTTATATATTGTGATTGACAAGGAAAAACAGTCCTGAAAATCCTTGAATGTTTTTGAGCAGTTAATGAGAAGACATTAAGAAAACACAAAGCTGGAAAAATAATCAAAATTGCCTTATTTTTCTGTAAAGTCTTTTAGAAAAGTAGAACAAATTCACCAACAACTTTATTAAAACTAGCTAAACCAAATTTCTCTTTGAAGAGATCATCAAGATTACCACCTACCCTGACATCAAGTCAGAGTACCCAACAGGATGACATTCCTAGCAGTAGAATGTGGTAAGTACAAGTCCCTTGGATATCTTTCTGCACACCATTATACCTCAAATATCTATGAAAGTATTTTAGATCCTACTGTTTTCATGAGTACTTTTCTTTAATACAATAATCCGCTTAGTGAAGCACAGTTATGGTACAGATTGTATGCATGGAGAATTCCTCCCTGGCTGATTATTTTCTCATTTGTTTGTGCCACAAACAAAAATAAACCCACAAAGGGGTTTATTTCCCCAAATACAAGTATTTTCTCTTATGTAATAGTTGATAGTCTCTACATACATTCATATTCTTTTAACCTGTTTCAAGGACTAGCCTCGCTCTCAAATTCATGCTGTGCCAGTGATTTCTGCAAGGCCACATGAAAAAGTGTTCCTCTACATTTTTTTCCCCATTTATTATAAATTTGAACTCCACGTACTTTTTCCTCAGCTATTCACTGTGTAATTCTACCTCTTTTGTGCCCCTTCTTATTTGTTTATTTTATAAGCAGTCCTAGATTTTTCTTCAATATACATTGAAAAATTTTTATTTCTGATCCAGGTCAAAGTCAGTGAGCACAGACATGATTCATTGCTTAGCTTTGGATGGCACCAAAGATTCAAGGTACCAGGGTTATAGAAAGTACACCTATGCTGAGTTGCTCCGTGTGAGTACTACTTGAAAATATAAGTTGTCTTGAATCATGAGTTAAAACAGTTTATTCTGCAGTATTAAACATGAAGTAGTCAATAATGGGGAAGAATTGTTTTGATTATATGGATGTCAGTGCTTTATGCAGAGGTATAATTAGAACATCAGCATTTTCTCTGTGGTATCTGTCACCTATTTCATAGGAAATCATGGCACACACAGAGGTTTGTTTTCACTAGAAAGCGTTGATCTTCTCCACAGTGACCATGTGTTCAGTAGGTTGTTTTAGAGAACTCTGGATAAATGCTTCAGTGGAATTGTTGCCTAAGGAAGTATACCAGACTTAGAGTGAAAACTGAATCTGCCTTACGAAGTCATTAAAATAGTAACATTCATAAGAGGAAAACGTTTCATTTGTACATTCCCTCCTAATTGCTTATGTATATCATTCTTTTCTTTGTTGAATTATTGCTTGCTAAGCAGATCCTCAGTCAACCAAACCTCAGGAGAGACAGGCTGCGCAGAAGAGCCTTTTCTTAGTAACTGTTAAAATGCTGACAAATACAACATGTGAGATGTCAACCTCTGGCAATCAAAAATATATCCAAAACCTTTCTTGTTTGTGGAACAGTCTCAAAACAACCTGATATTTCATGGTGGTATTGATACCCACGGCTTCACAATTAAAAGAAAAAAAACATGCCCATTTACATATGAATGGAGTTTGCTGAGCATTTGAGCACAATGTTTGTTTTGCACATCAAAATAATACTTTGCTTATTTCTTCACTGCATTCATTTTACTTCTTTGTTAATTTTTACAGGAAACAAAAGGCTAGTCTTTGCAATTAGGGGACATTTTCAGTTAGAAATATATACAGGAAACGTTCACGTCATGAACTATTAGTTTTTAGGCATCATCGCTCAGGGAGGAAAATACCATCCATTTACACTTACAGGGCTAGATTGGAACTTACACTCAGGACCTCACAATTTGCCATCACAAATATAATGCAGAGGGGAATGCAGGGATTAGTAGTTCAACTTCATACCGCAAAGGGATATCTACCTACTCTGCTTGAAGCAGATAGGTAGATATCCCTCAAAATATCCTTCAAAAGTCTGGCTTCTTCCTGCCCTTCTCCATCCCTGTTATTGTTTGGAAAGAAGCTGGTTGCCAGCCACCACACTCATCTGTTTCCACTTCTGCTATCAGAGACAGCAAGTCAGCCAAAGTTTCTCTCTTGTAATCATCAGAAGCTAATTTACTACTTACAGAAGCCTCTTCTGGCTTCTCTATGAGCACTGACAAAATGGATGTATTCTTCCTCAAATGCTCTACGAGCTTGCCACAGCAAAGAGCATGGATTTCTTGCTCCCTGAATTGCTCATGATTTTGTTGATGATGTCAGTGATGTAACCCCAGAAGACATCTTTTGTTCCATGATAGTTAAATGTTTTGAATCTTGACCAAATAGCCACCTGTTAACTTCTCTTAATTCAAAACACAGTAGCCTGAGCTGAGACAACTCGTCAGCTAAGATTGCATATGTAGTAGAAAATGGAGTCTGGTTTCTTGGGATGAAGATGCTAACTGAACACACTGCATGGCTCTCCATTGCAATGTACTGACATTTGAAAATAATGAAAGCCTGTTATTCGTTGCTATATAACTATGTTTTATTTGTCTAGGGGAAAAGTGCTGCTGGCAGTGTTGTCTTAGGGGGATCAAGAATGGAAAGCATGCTGCAGTCTCTTTATTTGGAGAACAGAGCAGGCTACTACTTCACAGAATTCTGTGAGAAGTCAGGGAATAAGGTATGAACATTTTCCTACTCTGTGATAATTTAGTCCACAATTGACTGAATGCCAAGTTATAGAGGGCAGCCAGACTGAAAAAAAAAATGGAGAAAGAAAGATTGATGACTGGATGAATTATTACTTGTGAGACTTCAATCCCTCAACAACAATAAACTGTTCATATGTATATGCAAACTAATGACAGGTCTTAACCAAGCTGTCAGATTCTCACTGTCTCAAACCTATTGGAATTCTGATTGTACCATCAGGGATAAAAAAAAAGACTAATAATTTTTAAAAACTAGCCTTTAACTTGGCAGAAAAAATGAGGTCTTAACCCACAAAAACATTTTTTAAAAAGATGGAAAATCTGCTATGCTATTACTCACAATAATCTGCTTCCTTCTTACTTGTTAGGTTAGTGATGTCCAAAATCTCCAATGTTTTAAAAACATTCTTCTGCTTCCATGAAGCTCCTTGGATTTCTGAGAAACATAACACTATTTCTTCTCTGCAGTCAGCAGATCCGTCATTCATTGCTGGGTGTAAATTGAGGATTGGTTGGAACGAGTGATGAATCTGAGTCAGTGTTTAGTGGCTTTGCAGAAAAATTGAGTCTTTAGGGGAGATTTGAATGCAATCAAGATGGACATCTGTTTCACCGCTGGCACAACGCAGAATCCAGCAGCAGTAGCTAGAAATGCCTTTGGCTACTACAAGACAAGAGCCAATGTTTCCAAAGCTGAATACCTTCAGCTAAAAATGTTAAATGTGTACAGATAGAAATCTAAATAAAAGAAACTTACTTTTTCATTGCATCCACCCTCATATCCTCTAGCCTTTGCAGGTGCCAGACTCCTTTGAAAATTATTTGCTTAAAGTTTTCTCTTCACCTGTGGAGCCTATTTCAATCATATGCTAGGTCTGGAAGGCTGCAGTTTGTGGAGAAAACTTCCCTACCCTTGTCTTTTTGCAACACATTCTTTATTGGCTAGCCATGGGGGTTTCAGGGTATTTTTAAAGGCTGAACCCTATAAGCACATGATTAAAACAGAGGACTTGGGGAAAGATCTAGACTTCTGAAAGATCTTTTGCTGTTCGAATTTATGAAATGAGGCCAAGACTCTGTGTCTCAGAAATGCATGTAATAAAAATGTAATGATAGTCTCAGTAACATATGTCAAGTACACAGTATTTAATTGTTTTGGTTATTGCTGCAAAATGCTATTTTACCATGGCACAAACTCGGCATGTCCATTATCAGGATTTCTTCTTTAGCACTGGCTTTATGCCACTGAAATGCGGTTACTCTTCAAATGTTAACTACAATGTTAACGATTTTAATGGCCAATTATGCATAAAGGATACAATAAGAGTATCACAGTGATGATGCCATTAAATATGTTGTCCTTCTGCCAGTATGCAACAGAAGATTAAATTCATCTTAAATTGAGCTTGATTTATGATGACCCCAAGGGGCTAAATAATACTTGCATTGGAAAGTCAACCTTTTATAAAGCTGTGATATTTGGGTAGCAATAACTTACAATATTTTTCATCTTTAGTTGTGGAAGAACTGTGTGTACTTTTGGTTCGACCTACAGGCTTATCATCAGCTTTTTTACCAAGAAACTCTTCAACCTTTTCAAATATGCAAGCAAGCTCAAGTAAGTTGTAAATAATGTGTTTTCATTTCACAAATACATTTGCTCATTCCCTTCACAAACACATTTGTGCAGTGCAAAGTCTGAAAAGAAGATAGAAAGTAGAAAAGTTTCCAAATCTTGACAACCCACACCAAAGTAGATCTGGGCTGTGGACAATAAAAGAAGCTCTTTGGATTGTTTCCATAGAATTTCTTGATTCGAATGTTAAACATGCATAGTTTAACTTCTAGGCTCTGCTGCCTGTTCCCAGTTTTATCTATTAAACTCAGTTTACCTAAACTCCCCTTTGCTACTCTGCATCATATTTGGAAACTATCTGCTTGGTGTTAACATCAGAGATAGTATTTTTTTAAACCATCTAATTGGGCTGTACCTTTCTTTCCATCTCCTATGTGGTTTAGAATTGCAGATCTCACAATTGAGACCTCAGATAATGACCTCAGTAATGAAAATGGATCTTTGTCAGTCTGGTTTTAATTGTTATGATTGTCAGGGTATTATTATTATCTTTTAACGGTTGTCATCCCCCAAAGATATTCAGATCCTTATTTAATGTCACGTGGAACTGATGTTTCCTATAAATGAGTATTCTTAATTGAGCATGCACTTTAAATCAGGGAATAAAACAAAATTAAACTGCTTCACCACAGTGGTGTTAATGGCTGTCACTGACAGGAGAGTAGACCTATTCTGTGAGGGAAGGAACCTGCAGCAGTGTGATATCATTAGAAGAATTCCAAGGAACTTTTCAAATCACTTTGTGAAACTTTGGTCTGATTTTCCTCTCTAAACCTTGTGTAGGAGTATATCCTATCTGAATATTTCAATATACACTATGTAATAGAGCAAAGCTACTTCACATGCCATTGGAACAAATATCTGTGGAGAACAGGTGAGAATAATCTTTTGGTATGGCTTATGTTACTAAGCATCTGAACATCCTTGACTTTGTCTTCTTTTCCTTCTTGGAGGTTTTACTGGGGCAAATGACAGAATTTTGCATATTTGTCCAGAATTCTCACCTGAATCAATGTTATTTGTACAGAAACTCCAAGCAGAGGCTGACACATAGATTCTTCCTTCTCTCCTGTCTGGGTAAACTGAACTGCTACCCTATTTAGTTGTTTTACCCTCCAGCTCTATTTATGGCATGAGGCTGTAGGCAACTGAATGTACCCTTAAGTCTGACTGTCTCCTGTATATGCCCAGGCGTGTGTGTGGTGAGGGCCCTGCTCACAGCAGACATGCGAGTTATCTAGACTGTCACCATTTTCCTATGTATTTTGTTGCAGGCCAAATCTTAGGTTATGGTCCCTTATGGTTTTTAATTTGGTTTCATTTCACACCAGCTTACATTGTTTCTCCAGTGGTTGCACGGCTGAACATTAAGGCCCAGGATTTTTTTACTTATCTTATTTCCAGTGCTGGCCTGGTGGTGACAGCAGAACATTGTACAATCAGTGTTACCAGGCAATTGCAGAGAGTACGTACACATAGCCATTAAAGTAAATACATCAAAACGAAATATGTGAAACTGTTCCATTAGCATAACTAACAGCTGAAATGTAACATAACAAATCAACACATGTGCTGCAACATTTGGTATCATTCTCAAGTTTGCCTTTTAAGGCTGCAGAAAAATTATACTTGTTTTTGTTGGAACACGGTAAAGAGTCAAGCTGCAACCAATCTACAGGGTCTGCTTGGGGAAGAGATGCCTTCCCAAATTCTGCGCTCACCTTTGGCACAACAAAGTCATTCCAGATACTCCTAAGAGAATGTGGATCAGATTTGCGTGACACATTGTCATATATATTTTACTATTAATTACAGAAAGAGACGTGCAGAGTATTCCGTATGGATTCTGCCTGCTTCCTCATAGAAACAAGGACAAACCTGGATTGCTGTGTATCTACTACTCATAGTTTCGTTTGTTGGGCATTGTTATCTTAGCTTTATGACAGTAATAAAATGCATTCCAAGGTGTATATGCATTCAGCCAGGGAAAGAAACTACAGTGAGAATGAAATCTGATGGATGAGAATAATGACAAGTAATGACGGGAATCATCCAGGAACATATACGGTTTTTCACTATAAACATGCACAGGAGTGTAAAAAAAAATTAAAAATAAAAGCAATAAACCCCCACGTAACATAGGTTTTGATTTTAAAAGAAGTTATTTAGAGTTAGAAAATTTAATACAGTTGTGGGAAGTCCAATATTTTAACAGTAGAATCAGTTTAGATAAAGGTGGTTATTATTACTGTGAACTTTTAGGGTCAGACACAGGATTTATATTAGTGGGAAGTGATGATGGAGGTTAAGGCAGTTTAACCTCTTTGTTTAAGACCAGTCAGTGCATTGCATTCTTCCATCATATGATTCTGTCAAGCAGCTGCACAAGCCCCTCTTTTAGATCAGAGCAATATCCATGCCTCTGGGCAGCAATACAAAGCACTTAGACTTAAATCTTTCTTCCTTCACACCAAAGCCTGTACAATCCCTGATTTCGAAAGTCATAAATGAGGCCAAAGTCTTAATCTGAATTTTCTAAGCATTTCATGTATTCAGGTTTGTGCCATTTTAAGTAATTTCAATATGCAAACTGACCAAATTTCCAGATACAGTTTGAGGTTCAATCCATCACTTATTCTAATACATTTATAGGAAAATTTATGGCTGGCAAGTAGAACAATTCTTCATGTTTTTCAACAGGAACAAAGCAAATAATCAACAAAGTATGATATGTACTTAACATGAAATGCTTCAGATTTTTGTATGAATGTGTTAACCTATAAGTTCATTTAATGTGATTTTTCCTGTTGATCCCTTAGGAGATTGGCTAATACAACAGTTCCAATATTCTACTGAGATTCAGAAAATCACAAGAATTCCATGATATGGGAATCAAAAAGCTATGAATATTACTTTTTAAAGGATAAAATGTATCTTGCAAACTGCATTGCCCAGTGTTGAAGGCTGTGAACACAGACAATTTTCCATTTTTTTGGCATGTCTAGAACTCTCCTCAGTTGGTTTTCCTGAAGTCCTTGCAATCAAATCTGTGTAGATCTACAGATGCACTTCAGCAAGGGACACAAGGATGAAAGCTCTTTCTCATTTCTCCCCTATCTGCAAGTGCATGGATTCACTTTTCACTTTGTGATGCTATCTTTTACTAGGTCAAATCCCGTAGCAATGGATTTGCTTACAAGAATTCAAATAAAGAGATGGCATCCTTCAAAGTGAAGAGGCCATCCTGATTACACCAGTGAGGGCCTGATTCTCTGAGTTGGAAAAGTGCATTCCTATAGTTAACTTAACCACCTCTAAATTTCTGCTTCATATGTATTGCCTGCCCTATTGTTTCTGGAAAAAAATATCTGTCTCTACTATGCTGTGGTTCTGAATGTGAAATTACACAGGACTGGGGGCAGTTCTGCAGGTAGAGCAGTGTGCAAAGGCAGTCCCTAGAATGGCAGTATATTATGACAGTGTTTATGTCAGTAGTTTTTGGCCAAAGCTTCCTTAGTCTGGGCAATTTCTGATTGCAGGCTGATATTTTTTTGTCAGCTCTGAAGAAGACTAACAAATATACTCATTAACCTATTTCATACAAAATCATAGGGCAAAGGAATTCTGCCTGAGGAACTTGTGGCATGTTTGTTTTAACTTCATTCTTAAAATTATGCAAAAATGATCACCCAGTTAAGGAACCAAGTTAGATGTGTGTTAAAATATTGAGGACATATTTTTGAACCTTTTTACCAATTTACAGATCCCTTGTGCGATTTTATGAGACATAACAGGTGGAGCAGTGTAGTCCTAATGACAAACAAAATGGTTAACCCCTCTTTAAAAGGTCTATTTTTAAAGATACCACATCTTTATATCATTGGACTTGTCCCTTCTAATTTGTCTATTTTATACACTAACTGGTTTTGATCAGACTACAACATGATTTAACTTTACTAGTGTTAGGGCTCTTCAAAATAACTTCCAACTTTTTAAATTGCTGTGAATGTAATTAATGCTGTCCCTGTTAAATTTAAATGTATTCGGGGACTTACTGAGAAGGGCATAATTTAGGATAAATGTGGTCTTTGTCTTCAGCTAGGAGTCTTCCTGTGGATGTGCTCTTTCTCTGACCTTGCCCTTACACTTGTGTATCTTTATTGCACTGATAATGTGGGCCACAATAGCCACAAAACATCTTTGTTTTCAGTGATTAGATCTATGTAGAAAGGGTCTGGAATCCTGCATAGACAATAAATGTGGTAATTGTAACAAGTGCTAACTGAGGGATGGATGTCAGCCATCGAAGCCCTGTATTCCTCAGTGACCTAATACCAGGAGAATCTAAAGGGTTTGTTGCAAATTGTAAAGGTCCAAAATAATGGGGATGCACTCTAATGCTGTTGCTATTTGAGAGAAATAGTCTAATAAATCAGAATTTAATTTAAAACAAACAGAAACATAGTTATTTAACGTACTCAAAATTCTCCCCCTGTGTTTGAAATCTAAGCACACCAGTGTTTTATTACTGCTTGAACACAGAGTAAATGTCTTATTTTCTTCTTTTCTATTGCTTTGTACATCTGCTAGTTACAGCTGGCTTTTTGCAAAATGAGGAAAACGAGAATTGTTATATTCCTGAATTCTTCGTTGCCAAGCCTCTGTGATAATAAATAGTAAAGATGGACTTGTCACTGCCATCCTAGGGAGAAATTTTGATTTACGCTACTAACCTGATCCCTGACTGTATGTTTGAAAATGAGTTGGACTTGAGAATATGAAGAAGAGAAAATACTTATATGAAATATATTATGGCAGCATCTTTATTTCAGTTGAGTTCCTAACTGCAGTCAGACCCATGATGTTTTATAAAGATATTCTGGAATATCCTCTTCCAAGATATTCCTGGAAGAAAGTGTTTTTCTCTGAGTTTTCAGTGTTCATTTTCACATTCATGAAACCTTTAGAAAACAAGAATTTTACTTAGGGGATTAAGTAAGTTTGAAAAAAAAAATGAAATAAATAAAACATTCCTCTATGCTTCAAGAGTCATCATCATGTCACGGCATGGCATGTGGAATGGCGAACTCTGTATGTGTCAGATAAAAAGCATATTGTAAACCTTTCTTTGGTAAGGATTTAGACCTCAGTTGTGCAGTGGAATCTCCTGCATGGACCCTGTACTGTGATGGAGTCTCACCAATGTCAAAAAACTATATAAGAGAATCTTCACACAGAATATCATGTAGCTTTTCATTAATTTTAACCTTAAGTTTACAAATTACTATCTATTCAGAAAAGTCAGATACCTTCACTAGTTGGCCTAGCACATATTCTGCAAAACAACGTGACTTCATGAGCAGCACAGTTGCTGTAACAATTGTAGCTATCTGAATCTGAGAATCAACCAGAAATCTCCAAGAGAAGATTGTGTTAAACGTTATTTTTTGATCTAACCATTTTAACAAGTAGGAGTAAAAATGGCAGGGGGATCCATTATGGCAATAACTGAATTTTGGACAAAGTAGTAATACTGGTAAAAAGTAAGGTAGTTGTAATTAGATATATATTCAGAATATACAGCAGGGCAGTGGGGGACAAATATGCATTAATTTCTCCTTCAGCAGTCTGTGACCATTGAAATGGATGATGGCTAAGAAGCAGTTTTCTTCTCTTTTATTTTAGTTCCTTTATGCAACTTACATTGCCCCATCTGCCAGTATGGACATTGGACTTCATCAGAATAAGAGAAACATGATTTATCAGAAAATGGACCCAGCTTTTGAGGACCTTTTTGACCCAGCAGAAGAATATATTCTCACTATTCTCCTAGAACCATGGATGAAGATGGTGGAAGCAGATAAATATACTTATGGAAAGGTAACAGATCTGGGTGACACCATGAAAAAGTCTTATGTCAGGGAATAAAATCACAAGAACCTTCATATGCAATCCTGTTATATTTATAGTTAGGAAGGAAGAAGTATTACAAGATGTTTTGCTTAGCCACTCCTTTCTATGTTGATATGTGGTGTAGGCTGAGCTTCTTGTGAACTTCATAGACTCCTTGCCTGTGAATTAGAGAGGAATGCATCTTGCTATGGAAAAATTTCTCTTCACACTCAGCAAACATCATGTTTCTGTAATCTTACCATGGATCAGAAGTAATTTTCTTATGATGATTGCCCACAGACACTCTATGTTTTAATCGTAAGCACACAATAAGCTGTGTTTCTACAGTGTCAGTGCAGTGATACTAGGTCCATATTAATTGTATCAAGAATGGCATCAAGTATTTCTTGGTGTTTAGAATGTAAGTGCAGCTACTGCTTAGCATAAGAAGACGTGATATGGTGATCCAGCTGTATTTGCCCCAAACATTTTTTAGATCACTGCTCTGCTGCGTAAGGGCTAAGTGTGCTTTGCAGGCCTCCTGAAGTAGGTGGCTCAGAGGTGTACTCAGTTCTAATTCCAGAAAGCTCTGAAGGCTTGAATTGGGCAAGCTTATGCAGGTCAGAAGAGGTGGCTGCAATCCTGACTTCCTTTGACAGATAAAAACAAGAAATGGTGGTGACAGTGGTCGATGCTGTGGCTTTCTGTTCTTTGTAAACTTACCTACAAGTTGCCAGCTGTGGGTCAAACTTCTTTTGGGCGCCACAATATAGGAAAGATATAAAGCTATTAGAAGTATTCAAAGGAGGGCTAAGAAAATGGTGAACGGCCTAGAGGGGAAACCTTATGAAGAGCAGCTGAGGTCACTTGTTCAGCCTGGAGAAGAAGAGATTGGGGGGAGACCTCATCATGGTCTACAGATTCCTCAAAAGGGGAGGCAGAGGGGCAGGCACTGATACCATCTCTCTGGTGATTAGTGACAGGATCTGAGGGAATGGCATGGAAGGGAGTGTCAGGGGAGATTTAGGTTAGATATTAGGAGAAGGTTCTTCACCCAGAAGGTCATTGGCACTGGAACAGGCTCTCCAGGGAAGTGGTCATGGCCCCACCCTGCCAGAGTTCAAGAAGCATTTGGACAACACTCTTATGAACATGGTGTGACCATTGGGGTGGACCTGTTCAGGACCAGGAGTTGGGCTTCGATAATCCTTTTCAGTCCCTTCCAGCTCAGGATATTCTGTGATTCTGTGATTCTAATTTCAAGTCTTTAACATCTCTCTTGATATGGAAGGAGAAACTTATAATGAGGAATCAGGAATTGGAGGGAAGGAAGTTAGTTCTTGTTCCTGTTTTTCTCCACTATGACCTTAGATGTAGCATCTCCAATTTATAGGAAATATCATCATTTATTACTGATACTTCTGTCAACTTGTAATGAGAACATGCCTGCATTGCCTTGTGCAAAACATTTTGAAATCCTATTTTTGGTGCTATATCATGCATGCATGTATGAACAACTAGGTGAACAGATAGCTAAAATCAAGGTTGAGAATGGTCTTCTAAGCCTATTAGGTGATGGCTAGTATTAAACATTTAAGAATGGAGTATAAGAAAAGAAAAAAAAAACACATAGCAGTTATGCTAGCTTCATCACTTTGCAACCAAGGAAGTTCATGGAGCAGAGATCTTATCCACAGTTTTGTGTATAAGAATCTTTAATAAGGGTTTTTTTGCACATGGGTTTATGTAAATGTGTCTTGAGTGATATATCTTCAGCCTCACTGTAGAAGTAGGTTCCATGTTTTAGTCACGCAATAGGAGAAAAAAGTCCTTATCTTAATTTGTTTGCAAACCCCTCCCTGGTAATTTCCCCTGGTGCCCTAGTTTTATATGTAGTGAGGAACAAGTGAACAATTGTTATCTTGTCACATTCTCAATGTTGTTGTGCTTTTACAAGTTTCTGTTGTACCCCACTTCAGTTACACCTCCTTGAAACTCAAGAGTCCTAAACTGTTAGACTTCTTCTCTACAGAAGTTCCATACCTTTGTTACAGTTATCGCCCCATCTTTATGTGTTATTTTACATTCTTTTGATGAGATGCAAGCAGTACTCAAGGTCTGGATGCACTAAGGATTATCCAGTGGCAGAATCATGTTTTCTGTTTTTCTCTTTGTTCTCTTCCTAATTGTTCCTATAATTCTAATTGCTTTTTGACTCCTGGTGAACTTTGAGTGGCTGTGCAAAATGTAAGCTAATAGCCATCTGTGGTGATTCCAAGATCTTCTTCCCAAGTAATAACAACTAATGGAAAGCCCTCATTTGGAGCTCATTGGAATGACTTAATGTTTATTATCATTGAATTCAGCTGTCCTTTTATCATGCAGATGCTAAAGTGTCCTGAAATCCTGCAGCTTTTCACAGTCCATTTAATTTTTTTGCTCTGTGGAATCATTTTGCAAACTTTATTGTCTCCTCACTCACCTCCTTTTCCAGATAGTTTCTGAATGTTTAAAAAAACAACCTCAGTGCAGATCCCTGTGAGACTCCAATAAGAACCCCACCCTATAATGAAAGTTATTTATTTCTTTGGTTTTGATTTTCTACCTTCTAATTAATTCACAAGGGGACTTTTCTTCTCATCCTGTGATAACATAATTTCCTTTAGAAACTTTGAAAGTTTGAACACTGATAAAACTTACTGAAATGAAATATACTAATCCAATCTGCAAAATATTTTCTTCACTTTTCAGCATATTTTCTAACCTTTCAGATAAATTATTTTTTTCTAAGCTATTTCAGCTATTATTCTTTATGACCTGCAAAGCACTGTGTAATTGATTGATACTTCTGTGAATGTGAAATTTTATTTACTTTCTATCAGACTAGTTTTAGTCTTTTGTAACTGTATATTTTCCATGTGTATTATCAATACTAGTTGTCTAGTATCTACTGCTGGTTCTCACCGAGTCAAATCATCAGTTCAGCCAAGTATTGTTATACACAATTTTTGTATAAAAGAAGTCTGCTTTTGAGCTCTCTGAGTACAGAATTGTCACCGCTTCTAGAGGTGGAAGGATTCCTCTGAAGTAAGAATTGGAAATGTATACTTTTCCTTTAAAGTTAATATCTGTGTCAGTTTGTGTATCCTGGAGTTAACCGAGGATGCGTTGCTTTGCAAACGTAGTTACGTGCGGACTTCTTAGTGCTCTAATAACACAAACATCTTAATCAGGGCACAAAAACCCAGAACTAAGTACTTTTGACTGTACAATACATGCGTTTGTGAAGAGTTATAATACACAGACGTAAAACGACCTGTTCTAGGAGGCACTAGAGTCTCTTTGTACTAGGCGCAGGCTGATACTTAGGCACACTCCTTCCTAGACAAGGTCTGCTTTGTATTTTGTTCAGTCCCTGGCTCTACTCTTCCCCTTTGTTCTACCCTATAGCAGGATATATTTGGCCCATAATGAAACAAGATACTTTGTCAAGAATTAGGTGAGTCCAAATTTGCTTATTTGGGACAGGGTCAGTATACATATCTACATTTTTTCTTTAAATGTTCTGAATTATTGTACTATTTACTTTTAAACTATGTTTTCTTTTAAGGGAGTGAATACCCCAGAGCACTTTATAAGCAGTGGAACAGAATTACACTGAGCCTGAAGACATTTAGATAACACAGTGATTAGTGTGGTATTCACATTTAGATGAAAATGTAATGAATATAATCTAAACTCTCTCGCACATAAACTCTTGTATAAGACAACAACAGCTTTCTAATCTTTGTAAGGGGCATGCTAATCAGTATAAGGCATTGGCTCAATTTTGCTAAATATCCTAAAATCTGAATTTGAATGGTTTAGTCAGCTGAGAGGTCACCAAACTATCCCTTGTGCAGTTACCGATTGTTTGCACATAACATGGAGAACTGCTGTAGTTATATACATAAGGCTTTTAATTAAGTTAAAAAATGCCAATACTTCATGAGTTCAAATTATGCACAATTTATTACTTACGGCATTACCTGGTATAAAACTAAGGAAGGAGACAAGACTGAAAGTCTGAAAGCTTTCACCTTTATTGTTTAGATATTAGAACATCTTTCTCATCTTAAATTTCTTTCTCTGGAAATCTGTGGCACTCTGTCTCTTTGACATTTTCCATTGACAGTCATAGTTTTAAGAACCGTTTTTCTGCTTCTCAGTGGCACTTTGACATATGATTTGCTGGTATAGACAATCAAGTAAGTCTGACACAATATTATATATATATATATATATAATATACAGAATGTATTATATAGACAATATAATTTAGCAATTTTTTTAATACAAAGTTCTCTTAAATATATAGTTAGATTATTTAGTGGTTTTCTGCAGAAATCTACATCTGATCCTACAAAGATAGGAAAATTTTGTTCTACCAGAGCTTTTAATAGAATTGTTTGTCAGAAAAATGTGACTTCTAGTGTCTTCTAAACATCAGTCTCATTACTAGCAAACATATTCTTTTCTATCCACTGTCACTGGCAAAGTGCCCACGCAGTTCTCCATCTTTCTATAATGTGTACTGCAGGGATGATATAAGATATTATTTTTATTAGGTGGAGTTGGTGGAAGAAACTCAACAGCTGGACTCTGTGTGCTTTAGAAAGCTCCAGGCTTTGCATCAAGTGAGTGGTTCCAAGAAGGATGAGGTAAGACAAGTACCTACTAAGAGAAACAACCCCTTTTTCTATCAGGGAGGGTTAACACTTTGAGTGTTAGCAATGAAAGCATGACCATATGCCAGTTTGGAGAAGCAAATAGTCCGATTTCTACCATTTATTTTGGGGACTGATTGACAGGCACTGTGTTAATTAGATATAGGGGTCTTCTGTCAGTTATATCAACATCAGACCACTGTATGATTGGAGTCAATGAGACAGTTTCCACTAAAGCCTGTGGAATATATTTTGGGCCCTTAATCTTGAGTAAATACCTCAATTTCAAGTAAATTACAGATATATATTGGTTTATTTGATTATGGAACTGGCACTCACTGGTATGTTTAAAGCAAACATAAAAGTAAAGCTGACTAGGCACTGGAGCCTTAACTCAATTTATTTCCTCAGCAACCAAAAAGCTATTTTACAGAGACAGGTTATCTAATGCAAGGATTATTAGACTGAGCAAAATATAGAGATGAAAAAAGCAGTTATGCAAACAGAAAAATTTCTTCCCTCAGAGTATTGTTGCTGACACTGGTCTGCCATCCGTCCCTGATGATCAATACTTGCATCAAATTCCCAAAGGATTGGCAGGTCCTAATCTGTCTGACCTGATCCACAACAAAGAGAAGTTAAACCAGTTCTGGGCTTTTCTTAATGAGCATTCTGCTGGGTATGTTCCTTCATCATCATTATTTTATTATTATTATTATTATTATTATTATTATTATTATTATTTACCATTTCTAAGTTCAGAAGAAATCTTTGCTGCGGATCTTGGCTATCTAAATGTTCACAGATTTTAGTGTTTTTTAAAAATGCATTTGCATATTTAGGAAATACACATGCACATTGTTCAGACAACTGAATTGTCTTAACATTTTGGGGTAAAAATTATCTTGTCATAACATGTTTGTATTACACTTTTGCTTTCTGTTTCTGCTTTGATTAGTGGCAAACCCTGAGCAGAGCAATTAGCCTTTAATGAGTAAAAATTTATAGTTTTTAGTGCAGATTCAATTTATTACATTTTTAAAATTAAACCTGGGTATTATAAAAATGTGCAAATAGTAGAAGACACATTATTCTCACAGTGTGAGAGCAACCACAGTTTTGTGTTTGCTGAACAGATTTAAGCACCAGCCTGTAGCAGATACAGTTTGGGCAGGTTTTTTGAAAAAGTGAGCCCATTTGTTTTTGTTTTTTTTCTTTTTTTGTCCTTAAATTACCATTTCCTTCCTTTAACCTAAGTTCCCATGAGCTGATGCTTTGCATATTGCCTAGTGCTTCTAGTCAAGCACTGCTATAATTTTAGATTGGATATTGGTCAGCTTTTTCAAAAGTGTCCAGAGATGGGCATCTGGCACAGAAGTCCCCTGGCCAAGACTCAATGTCTTCACTTCTGCTTATCATCAGAAGGTTCCCTTTGTAGTCAGAGAGAGAAATACCCACTTCTGGACACATTTCTTCTAATTCTGAAGGTAACATCTAAAACCAGTTTGGATGGATCATTCCTAAGATGGCTATTTCTTCTCACTGACTACAAAAGGAGTGCAGGTACGATATTCTCATGCTGTGGGTGCCTGCAGTCAAGTCACTTCTGAGTTAGTTGTCTAGAGCAGTTGTCTCAAAACTTTTTTGATCATGCAACTCATCAGTAAAAAATTTTTGAGCATGGACCCTCAATATATGTATATTTAATTTTTTATACATTATACACATGTGCTACTGAAGTTATAATCTTTTCTTCCTGCCCCTTAACAAATGATCGAACACCTCCTGGCTGCACACACCCACTGTGGAAACTACTGGTCTTGAGATACTCTCTAACATGGGAAATGGTAGGAATCACCAGATAACAGGTCACTGGCTAGGATGAGGTCCTGGACAGGGACACTGAATTGCCTCTGGGATTTCCTGCCTCTCTGTTAATCACAGACAAGTCCCTTCTTAAGTGTTAGAGCCAGGCGGAAAAATATTAAATTTATGGAGAAATTTTCTTTCGTAAAAATTCGTAATGAAGAAAAACATTTGAAAAAGTCTCACAAAAGTGTTTTAGAGCTGGATCCAGATGTAGTAACTCTATAGTCCAGGGGGCATATCATAGTAAAGATGCTTAATGGTACTATAAGCTGAAGGGATCCTAGAACTAATGCAGTCTGGAAATTTTCAGAAAAAAACAACAAATGTGCCATTTACCTTTTCATCAAAATTTATGGTTCTGATTTTTTCAACTATAAGTGATCCAAGTTTCAGGAAGGACAGGCTTCTAAGTAGCTGTGCACAAATTCTGGTAAGAAACTAAAAGAAGTTTCATTAATTAATATTTCATTAAATATATAGAATATATTCACACAATTGCAGGACAGTTTGTGTTACTTTGAGTTAGTGGGTTACCATTTGTTAGTCTCGCCAGACTAATTGATTATGCCTGTGCTCCTGATCTGTTGAAAGAGAAAAGTGCAGTAAGCCAGGATAAGCCACCACTGTATATGGTTTAACTAACACACTTTAAAATGATATATTGTACTTTTAAAATAAGATGCACATATTTGATCAGTTGTCATAGGTAGATGCCAAGGAGTTACTCCATAAACCACAGTAACTTGGAGCACTTGCATTTGAGTGAACTTATTCATGTTGTGATGAACTAGCAAATGAAGGAATTTCAATAGAACTTAGGGCTGTAAGGGTCTCAAAAGATTTCTGAAAGGAGAACATCTGTTCTTAAATCAGTCAAATGCTTTTGAAAGTTTTACTCATAGATTAATACTTTGAAAAAACCAGTTATTAGCTGAATGGAAAAGTGAAACAGATTTGCCTGAATTTAATGTTTCGTATTTCCTGCTTCAAATACAGTGAATGTCCTAATTAAAATGCTCACAAAACTTCAGCTAATAAGATACCATCAGAAAACAGTTATATAAATTAAACTGAAATTGTAGGTACGTCAATTATTCTGTCCTCTGATTTAAAGAACAAAACCATTCTATGAAAACAAACTTAAATTTATAGTGTACACTCAAATGTTATGAAAAATATATAGATTGAGGATTGCAGATAGAGATTGTCACTGACTATGAATAATTAAATAAGTAGTAGAATCGGTAATTTATGAAAAAGCATCCCACAAAAAGCTCTAGAAACAAATTTTATCATAAATTGGTTTTGTCTGCTTGACTGCAGACTGACTTAAACTCTAGCATTTCAGACAGGGTAGGAAGAGAGTGATTTTTGGGGCTGATGTTCCCAGGTGTCATCCATGCTCCTTTCTCAGGCAATATGACAAGGGGGCAGAACAGGAGGCGTCAACTTGTCTTTCAGTGGCTCACAGCCTCAGTAGTGATTCAAATTCTCATGTGTTTAATTTTTCATTCTCTCTGTGAGCTCTACATTATGGCTCTGGTTCACAGTTCCTGCTGGATTTAGCAGTGGCATATTGAGGAGGGTAGTCCTTTTGGGGTACCCCAAAAATGACCCTAAATGAGATCCCCAAGATGTATGTTTGATCTGCCTGTTCAGCAAGTGCCATGGTCTCACCAGATGGTACTTAGCAAAGAAAAAATGACATAAAATTTCAGCCCAATCTGACCTGGTATTTAGGTCTTGATTACTTTGGTGGCTTGTGGTTAAACAAATAACTCCCTAGAATGTTGATGATATTTACTCAATACTGAAATAACATTCTGTTTAAATTTGTTTGTAGCATGGATCTCATGTGTTGGCTTGATATTGAAGAGTTCAGAAAGATGCTCCACAAGGATAAAGAAAAAAGTGAAGAAAAGTCTAAGGACATTGAAAGCAAGTACTTTAATGACGAGTACTTCTTTGGACCCAACAGCCCAGCTACCAGAGAGCAACAAGAAAAGGTACCAGTTACAAAACCATTTATAAAGAACAATCACACTGAATGTCACTGAGATAAAAGTCCACAAGAGGGTTTGATTCAGCTTTTCCCCAAGCTATCTCCTCAAATCTTGCCTATATTTTTGGCCAGAAGTCTCGTTCTGTTCTGGTTCTGGGGGTCCCTTCCTTCCTGTTTGAATTCTTCCTCCCTGCTCCTTATAGAACATCTCTCTTAAACCCTGATCTGAGGACACAGCCAGAGCATGCACAGCACAGCTCAGAAAAAGTGTAAAAATGGCTTTCAGGCACAGTGACTTGTTCCAGCTTTCTATTTAGTATGTCAGTAAAGCCACAGACAGTAAGTCTGAGCTGTGGTACTCTGATATATCTTGATACTTAGGCAATTTACTTGGTCAAGCTGGGGTATTATTTCCCAGAGTCTGTGTCCTATTATAGATAGGGACAAATGTAATCTGTTCCCTTTTATGAAAAGTACATGTGAGCCTTGGGTAAGCATGCATTAAATGCTTTGCTTACAATTAAGCTCATGCTTTGCTAAATCAAGGATGTGGAGAGATAAAGGACTTTTGGTATACACAAAAGTTTATGTCATGTGTTATTGTGTTTGGATTGCTTAGCTAATGCATTCAGGTGGAGGAAGGAGACAAATCCTTCATGATCAACTTTCGGCAGCAGTTCTGCTAGAAGTTCAGCAGTGCATCCAGAAGAGATTAGAAAAACAATGGCTGCCATTGTTCCTGGCAGATGAACACCGTGGGGTGGAGGGACAAGCAAAGGTAATTTTTTAACAACAGCAACACATCCAGGCATTGTTTTTTGTTTGGCTCATAATTTACCATTGGGATACAAAGGTTCAGAGGAAAAGCAGCCCCACAACTCTCTTTCAGTTTACACTGAAAGAGGTGCTGTAGCATGTACAGGTTGAAACATTCAGCTTGATAATTGTGAAGGCAGTTGCTCTGAAGGTTTAGTTTAGCTGACAGTATTATTGTTAGATCCTAAATCTGAAGGAGCAGGTATTAGCTCTGCTGCCAGGCAGGCTGCCAGGAGAGTCAACTAATCTTTGCTGTAGTGCTCCACTCTCCATATGCCATTTTGCCCTAGCCATACAGTTGCGCACTGAAGAAATGCTGCTTTGTGTAAAGGATTTGCCCAAGGGCACCAGAACACAAGCAAATGAGTGGGCTTCCCGTGCTGTAATTCTTTCTCTCTCTTATGTTGTCTGCATTCTCCCATCTGGAGCTGCAGTGCCTGTAGAAATTACCTCAGGACTTGTGAAATTCTGCTTAGTGAGGAGGTTAACTGCTATAAGCCTTGTTCTAATTGGTTACTTCAGAAAGTTGCCAGAAAACTGGGAGTGAGGAGCCTTTCACTCCTGCTGGCTCATTAGAAAGTCTGAAAATCTGCCTTTTATGAATGCCTCTGTGGCTGTGATCTGTGTAAGGAGATCATCCTGCTGCTGACAGATGCAAAGAGACTTAGTTTTTTGCACTTCCACAACAGCTCTGACATGCGAATGTCATGGCAGAAGGCAACTTCACAGTTCCACCAAGCAGACACATATGCAACTGCATTGATTAATAAAATTTGCTTTCTGTCATCTCTGTAACATCAAGAAGGTTGTCAAAGGTGCTATGAACTGGATCCTTTCCATCGGTTCAGAAGACTAAGGAATGTGAAAAGTATAGGTTCTGATAAGACAAATTGTAATTTTAATAATGATTATGTAACTAAATTAAAATTTTCTCTGCCCTTTTTAGCTGAACTCTGCCTCCTTTACAAGTCCTGGTACAAGACTATGTGATAGGGCTAAGCTGCTTCCAGGTCTGGAAGCTAACTCAGGCCTCCTTGCACCTGCTGCACTGTGCTGGCAGGCAGATTAGCCCAAGTAGCTTAGAAAATGTTGTATTCAACTCAAATAAACAGTTTACAGGAAATGCATACTTCTAATGAGCTTTTAGTCTTTTCCTAACTCCATTTATGTTTTACTGCTCTTTTCTCTTTCTTATTGCAAATTCAGAGGATGAAAAGGTCCTTTGAAGAAAGTATTTTAGAAGAAATGAAACCAGATGACATTCTCTACTTGGCTTCATATTTCACAGTGACCAAATACTGTGGGCATGCTATGTAGTCCTTATTCAGAAAACCTGCCCTTGATTTGAGGTGTATTTTTGCTACAAAGAAGTTGCAGGATCAAGTCTGTATTTCTGATACAGCTGTCCAAAGGAGCTAAAAACATTTCATACTGGGAAAAAAAACCCAACACCAAAATTTGTTACTAACATAAGTGGTCCCTCATGGGTAAAGTAAACCAGTGGAAGTGCATAATTTGACTGCTATTGCTTCTTGTCTTCTCTAACTTCGCAGTCTCATTTATAGCTGAAGAAGGGCTGGCATTCAGTGTGGGTCCACAACTAGTTTCAGACATAAAATCCAAACAAAGACATATAAATTATTCTACCACTGTGGTCTCTATCATTAGAGGGCTGAACAAGAAACAAGAAGAGTTTAAAAATACAATTATAATCTACTTTTCAACTTTAGATAATGGACATAACTGAAGATCTTTTACGCAAAGACCAGCAGAAGACAACCAGGATATGGAAGGCAAGTGAAATGTACCATATCTCTGTGTCTGCAGTTTCACCGTCTTTTTCATTTGGACCTTGCACATTCTTCATAATTTCTCTGTTGACAGTGTGAGGCCCAAATGTAATGCTGTCAAAAGCAGACATGATTGTATTGGCTAGAGTGGACTGATTACTCATATTACTCCTGAATTTAGCTCCCTGCTGATGTTCATGGTAAATTTCACTCCCTTCCTGGCTGGAGAGGTCATACTTGATAAAAACATGTCTCTTGTCTTGGGCTTTGGAGCACTCTTAACCCTCCTCAAACTGATAGTGTACCTTTAGTTCACATTTATCTGTGTTTTGCATGCAGTGGGCTTATTGGGACAAGCTGTTCATTCCAGCATCTGGTAGTTTATTTATTATTGCAAGTGGATTACGTGCAGACACAAAAGGGAATGTGAAGTATGCAGTGGAGTGGGCAGGTTTAATCATATCTCACAGTATCTGTTTCATTTAGAATTGTATTTTAATCTCATAGCACTGAGATAATATCAAATTTAAACTTCTTAAACCTTTGTAATAATACATTTCATCAGATGTTTGCCAGTTTTTTCCTCTTGAAGAGCAGTGAACTTTTTGTGATTGCCAACATACAAGTTGTGTACATTTGTTCAGTTGAACTTTTATTGTCTGTTGAAATCAAACTGGAGACCCGGTCACCAATTATCCATGCAAACCATCAGCACAAAAGGGATCCAAAGTGCATATGGGTTCTGTTAACTGAGTTTTCCCTTTGTCTGTTTGTCAGGAAGATGGTTATTTTCCATGTTCTGCTTCAAGGTTGTTGACCCATAAAATAAGCAGTTTGTATATTGATATAGGGATGGAAGCAATGTTTTGTTCTTCCTTTCATGAATATGACCCAGAAATAATTTTTCCCAAAAGTTGTCTAACTCCTGGTCACAGGGGATAGAACGTAGTAGGAGAATCAGACAAGGGCTGAGAAGATCCCACCCTACTGCCTGAGTTGAGCTTACTTTATTTTAACCAAAGGACCCTCTGGACAGCCACTACCCTCCCTCTCACAAGCGTAGGCTCTCACCCCAGCAGGCTCTGCGGCAGGACACTAAGCATAACCCCTGTTTAAGAGCAGCTGCAGAAACTCTTTCAGCTTAGGATCAGGTTAGATTTCCAGGACTGTTGGCAACAATTAAAAATGTTTTTGTCCCATGCTGACCATTGAAGAGTACTCCATCCCGCCAGGACTTCAAGAGGTTTAAACCACTGTTAAAAGATGGTTTTCATTCATCCATCTGATAACAAAAGGGGGTTGTTTGGCTTGCTCCTCAGCAACAGTACAAGAACTGTTTGTTCAGGAAGACAGGCCAGCATGAACTTCATTTCAAACAAACTGTCTCTGCATAAGCCATCTTTCTTTCTCCACCCTTTCCTGGCTGCCTACTGTTTTGTGCTTGGCAGCATGAGGATTTCCAAAATGTCTTGATGACTCTAAATTCTGTTTTACTATTGGTAGCTTTATTCCATAGAGAGCAAACTCTCTGGCTTCTGCTGGTGATCATGGCAACACATTTCAAAGCTCATTTTGTTGGTGAGATCCCTGTCAGAAGCATTTTACAACTTTAAGCTATGTGGTTTGTCTGTTCCTTTTTCTTTGTTGTTTGTTTGCACAAAACTCAAACTGTTCTCTAGAAAAGTAGCCTCTTGCCATAATCAATAACAATAGCTGTTTCCATATTTTATAGTATGTAGTCATATGGTCTAAATCATTGTCAGTCATTTCCTCTCCCATCATGTCTTCCAAAAAATGTTCCCTAAACAAAACTGAAAAAAAAAAAAAAAGAAAAAAGAAGGAAAGAAAGAAATGAAACCTTGCCACATATTATTGTATCCATGTCATAAAGTCATAAACTACTGAAAGTTAGGGTCAGTGGAAAGATAAGAATCAGACAGTTTACGCTAACTAATGGCTTTGTTATTGCTTTTTGAAACAAAGTTTATTTGGTGCATTTATTTCTTTTTTTGACAGCATATGGACAATAAGTGTGTTTCTTCATCTAGTGAAATAATTGCTTTCCGCAAAGCACTGTTGGATCCGGTGACAGCAAATCTGTTTCAACGCTTTGTGTCACTGCAAGGAGACCTGCTGGGGAATGGAGTGCTCTTTTGGCAAGAAGTGCAAAAGTATAAGGTATGGTGGTAGAATGGAGCCGGGGGAATAGCAATCAGTTTGTAAGCAAATGCATCCATTCCTGCATATTAGGAGAATTTTAACAAGAATGTCTACAGGCATTCATTCTGTTGTTCATAGTAAAACCTCTTTCACGGTTTAAAACAGGGGTTTTTTTTTTTTAAGAAAACCCTCACTTCTTAAGGGTAGCTATGTTTGACTCAAATGTATAATCCCTATATTTCATTATGCTCCTTCAAACTGTAACATTCTTCTGAGTCCCTAAAGGGACACTACCAACTAGCTAATGCCCAGAGTTTGGTATACATCTGTCAAGCAATAGAAAATGTTCATTCTGTCCTTATAGCTGCATACAGTTAAATAATGGGATTATTGCTGAATTTGGTAATTCCTCAAAAATCAGAGATAACGTTTAAATTCAATCAAATCTATAGATGTAAAGATAATATCTACCCAAAAAGCCTATATGTGCAATGCAGACCCCAAGTCCCTTGCCCTTTGTAGTGTCACATTTGACTTCAGCTGAGGATGGGACCAAAGCCAAATGTGATGGGGAAGGTCAGCAGGGATTATCTCTCTCCCAGATACATGCACTTTTGTGAAATTGCTGCTGTGTGGGTTGAAAAACAGTGGGAAACCTCTGGAGTGAGCCTTTAAATCACACTGCAGCTTTCTAGTAGCACCCTGGATTGAATTCAGGGACACCACAGATCTTTCACTTTTTCCTCTTTCCTTTTGCCTCTGGGATATTCCTGATGCAAAACTGCTACCAGAGTGCAGAACCTTTCCTGGGCTCCTGAGCACAGCTTGTGTGCACATGGCAAGCAGGGAGCAAGAGGTTAGCTAACATGCTCAGAAGTTAGGAGGTAAACACAGTTGATGCTGCAGTGGTACTTAGAGATCTTTTGCAGGCATTTAGGTGTATTTTCACTGTTTAATTTTATGAATTTGAATTTTGGAGTCTGCTTTAGAAATTGAAGCTTGTCTGTTCCCAGGGTTCCATCTCTCTTCCTCACAAAGGCTCTGATCCCCAAGTAAGGAATCACTAGATGAAATGCTCTCTGGGGGCGCTGCTTTCTTTCTCTTGGTTATAAAGTGACTACCTTACATTTAAAACCTGATATGAAGGCACCTGGTGTTCCATGACATAAATCCTTTCCAAAATATTTGAATTTTTTTCAGATTTGTGACTCTTTTTTGCTACATTATGGAGGACATGGAAACTTTCTGCAAATTAATGTGCAGTGTAGTTTAGACTCTTTTCCCTGTAGATCTGCTCTCTGAAGAAAGCCTTCATTGTTTTTTTGTCCCAACCCCTCTCCTGCATTTATGTTAATTTTATTTGTCTTCTTATCAAGAAAAAGTACAATCTGACCGTATTTCTCCGTGCATGTGATTTGTCATGGTTGGCAGTTGATGCTCTTTATAGAAGCAAAGGGCTGGAGTAGTAGGAGTGTTGTGGGTCAGGCTGAACTGGAGGAATATTGCCAAAGGCGTGGGCAGCACTTTGCACAGTGCATACTTGTATTGTCTGAGCCCTATCGTGCCATCAGTTAAGACAGAATTCCCTTTAGGAGTCAGTGCTCCCCGTAACCCATCAGGCTGGCGGCACATCTTGGGACAATCCAAAACCAAGATTTCTTTTTAAACAAATATGAAGAAACATAAATCTGTGGATCATTTCCATCTGTTCCTCTATGCTCAGTCTCATCTCTCTTCATATCATATGGCTTGTTTGTCTTCCCTCTTACTACAGCTCTCTGCCTTCTCTTCTATGCTAGATGAACAAAGGAGTCCATAGTATATACTTTGGATATATTGAATATGTTTTTGTATTGCCTTACTTTCTTTATTATAGCTGTTATCATTCTTTTTTTCCTTTTCAAAACTGAAAAGTATTCATAATAAAACAAGCCAGCTCTTTCACATACCACATTTCTGGTTAAAAGCCCTGTTTTAAATTTCTTTGCAAAGTAAATATCTAGACTCCTATACTAAAACTAAATGCAGATTCTTCATTTAGAGGGCTCTCTTCCTGAACATTCTCTAGAGCACTCATTGTGACTCTATTAGATATAAGTGATAGTCTCCTAGTATTATAGAAATTTCATGTTTCAAAGTGTTTGGAGGAAGTTCTTTGAATTATTTTTCCTTCATGTCAAAATCCAATGGAAGCATTGTCAGGGCATCAAAACACAGTAATAACAGGTGTTCCATCAGAACAATAGGATCGCTTTAAGAAAAGTAGAAAACTCCCAGTATTCCTTTGTGATCTCACTCCTGTAAGTTCAGGTCTGTTTTGTATTCTGTTCTGCACACAGTTATTTCCAACCCCAGGGTTTTGGGAAACTAGAAAATCCTAATGAATGGTGAAACTAGAAGATTTCAATAAATGGAAGATTTTACTGGTAGCTAAAACTGTCCCCCTTGTATCAACATTCCTTGTACCCTCTAAATATTTCCCCTCTTTTGCTGGAGCATTTAGAACATTTCTTTGTATTTTGGTTACCACGGCTAAGCTGGTCATAGCAGGCTTATTGTGAAAACCAGTGCATTTCACACCTGTAGCTGTGTTTCTCTTTTCAGAAATGCCTCCTATTTGCCAGTAATGCACTTAAAAACTACCCTGTTCCATCTGACCATGCAGGCAGAGGTTATAACTTAAAAGCCACGATTGCTATACATCTGCATTTGCAAATCAGAACTCCCACTCACGTCTTAACTATGGCTTTGACCATTCACATTTGCTATAAGAATTTTGTCCTACATACTGAAGGAATCTATTGTATAATTTTTTTTATATTTTTGACTATTATTCTTTGATCACTGGGCCTCTCTAAAGGATCTTGTGTCTCTCTCTCCATTGACTGAAAATGCTATTTTTCATCTTTCAGGACTTGTGCCATTCTCATTGTGCTGATGCCATAGTCCAGAAAAAGATCACAGCTATTATCAACTGCTTTATTAATTCTGCCATACCCCCAGCTTTGCAGATTGACATCCCACCTGAACAAGCAAAGAAGATTTTGGAGCGCAGGAAAGAACTAGGACCTTACATTTTTAGAGAGGCACAGGTAAGAAGCTGGGCGAATCTCTGTAATAGGTCTGGCCAGAGCCTGCATGCCTGATTTTAGGAACAGTCTTTGTTGCTTATGTGACAGTTAGGATTCAGATATATACTGCTCAATAAAAATGATCTCTGACAGCTAGCTGATACTGGAAAGGTGTCATCTAGGTCTGTGTTAGGATTCTGGCAGTAGAAATTAAATCTGTCTGTGTTCTTCATTGCTTGTTCTTTACCACTTGGTTAATGTGAGAGAAGTAATTTGTAGTTAGAAAGTTTGTAGTTTTCATGGTTTATGAAAAATGCAGATGTGAGTAAAGCACAGAGACAGCTTAACTTGCTGAATGTCTTTCCCTTCTTTATTACAAAAAGTGTGTTTTAAATGGTTGTAGACAATTTTCTCTCTCATCTTTGTACTGTTCAGACTGAATAGCAATTTGTGAACTTTTACTTCAGACTTACTCTTTTCTTGTCCCTTGATACTGCCTTGTCTGTCTTATCTTCTAAGCCCAAGAAAGCTAGTTTTTCTTCTTTTCCTGTAAAATTGACACCAACACCTTTAAACATCAACTGTGAGCCCATAAAGTGTTTGGATGACAAAAGATGAATGTTTTGTCAGAGAAGAGGGTTCACATAGGTTCTGAGGGAAACAGAAGTTTCATTTCAGCCTGTGTAAAACCCCAGTGAACTCCAGAAATGTGGCACAAAACCAAAGGAAGAACTTGGCCAAAAAGCTGTGACTGGAACCTGACAGTGACTCACTTGTCACTTTCAAGTCCATTGAGCCAGAAGCAGTGAGGTGCTGAGCGTGCTTGGCAATTTGGAAGCCAAGTTTCTCAATGAGAATTAAACATCTAAATTAATTGAAAAATGTGAGCCTCGGTACGTGCAGCAACAGAATTTACTGAGCCCCTCTGTTTGCTTTTCTAAAATTGTTTTCCTTATTCTAGTTCAAAAACGACCCTGTGAGAGATTATATCATTTAAAAATTATCCAAGATTTGCTCATAGATCTGTAATGTGGTTTAAGAGTCTTTCCAGAGGCAAAAAAGTATTTCCTTTCTCTTAAGGAGGGAAAAAAAAAAGCCCTCTCCCTAATGAACTGAATATTTGAAATATTTGAGCAGAACAGTGGTGCAAAAGCAATTCTACTGGTGTATATTTTATCAAGAATACTTGTAAAAAATGATGGATGTTCTCATTAATGCAAACAATTGTTTAGGGAAATATAAAAAAAAGAAAGTGCCTTTTAACTGTGTTTTAGGAAGATTTCTCACCAGTAATAAACATACTGATGAAAAGCATGTGCCTAGCAAATCTGGGCTGAAATGTCAGGACAGAGTACGTGGGAGGAACAAGGCTGTGTGTTCAAAAAGAAATAGTTATTTCATTCGCATGGTAAACTACATTTTATTTTACAGTAAATTGTTTTCTTAATACGGTCAAGATTGACTTTTCTTCTCGTGCAGATGACTGTTTTTGCTCTTCTGTTTAAATTTTGGCCAGAATTTTGTAAGTTTCAAAGCAATGTGGATAGTGAAAAAATTCTACGTGCCTTGGAGAAAGAAAAGGAAAAAAAGATGCGAAAGAAGGAAAGGATAACAGCAAAGGTAAGGCTCACAAGGTTTCAGGTGACATCTGATGAACTGCATAAAAACTTCTTCATGAGCAAACGTACATGAATTAAAATATCCCTTTCTCAGCCTGTTCCAAAGCTACCAAATATTTTTTGTTAGATTTCAGACTTCACATGTGACCCAGTCCTAGGATGATTAATTCCCAATCCTGTCGATGCATATACTTAGGTTTAACTTGAAGCAGATGAGTCAATGGAATACTCCTTTCATTAAGAAGAGGGAAAAATGTATTTTAGTCATCTTTTATGCCAAGAGAAGAGCAAAAAAGAAGGCTGAATTAAAAAAAAAAATAAATCTGTGTACAGTGGGTAACTGCAGACCTGTTTGCACTTTCTTGATGTATTGTCCTATATTAGAATTTATAGTTCTGGATTACTATTGAAAGCAAACCAAACCAAACCCAAAATTAATTTCATATCTATTTTTCAGAAGGACCATTTGAAAAGTCTGCACATTATTTTAAAAAATATTTATGCACTGATTATTTTGCATAGGTTTTGCCTTTTCTTGAATATTTCTCATCTTTGACAGTGAAATTGTTAGACTGTTCACAGTGAGTTTCCAGACAGTTTCAGCACATTAACAGAACTGTGACCTCTACAGTGGAATGCTTGTTTGTAAAATTGTTTTTCTTGGACTTTTTTATTAAAATGTAATGTATTTCTTTTTCTATTGATTATAGGCTTTGAAACAGTTTATTTTTTATGAAATACAATTGTTTGGCCAGCTTTGGGAGGAGAACATTCTTTTAAGGGCAGAGAAATTACTGGACTTGCAAACTATCATAAGTAGCATTAAAAGAGGTTTACATATGTTAAATACCATATACACATGTGTTGTGATGTTACTTATGATGAGAACCACATGAGTACCTGGACAGATAAAGACATATGCCCGTAAGAACATGTATACATTGTTATCCTCCTTTAGACACGTGAAAGCTGAGGACCAGTGAAACATTACTCAAGGCCACACACCAATGTCAAGGGAAGCCTAAAATCTAAGAACTCATGTTCCTTTCTCCAAAGCATATTGTCTCCATACAGATATGTCTGGCAAGGCCAATACTGCAAGAATGCAATATTTCAAAGTAATGCACTTTTGCGTTTTCACAGACTTATTTTTTCCATCTGTTTGTGGCCTGTCTATAAGTTTTCTGATTAAGATCAAGGAAGTAAAGAGAAAATCTTGGCCAGGAGGGCGAAAGCCTAGCTTTTATGGAGAACAAATGGGAAAGGTGAACTACCCTTCTAGGCTGGGAAACAGAGTAAGAAATTTTAGAAAGTGACAGGCAGAGAATGCAGTTCAGTAAACAGTTTGCAGACTATTCTTCTCATGAAAAAAATGATCAGTAAACCGGTTACCTTTTAAAATTTTTTGAATGAATAGGTGGAACAGATAAATTTTTGAAATGTTTTTGAAACCCTTTCCCCTTTCTGCTATTGTTTAAAGAAATTGCCATTTCCTGTTCTCTTGTTTGAGATTTCTGTCCTCTCAATGACAGTGTAACTATTCAAATAATTCAGTGTCCCTGAAGGATACTGATAAAGTTCATCTAACATAAGCAATAGCAGTTTCACCAGCAGCTTGTGGAAGGTGATGATGTCTTGGCATTGAAAATAAGGTCTATGCTCTTCTGCCCCACCAGGCTCACGCTGAATGAGAGGAAAGCTCTGGCAAGGGTTAGAAACAGCTTTTCGTATATATATTTCCCCTCCACTCCACAAATCAGTTGCTATTTTGGGTTTATGTCAAAATGAACAATCATAGTCCTGTGGGAGGAATTTGCTTTCTTTTTCCTCACAAATGTGTCCCTGGGGTTCTCAGTCTACTTGGGCTCACCTTGGTTTTAGAGCTGAACAGATAAGTTGGACTTTTATGTAGTATAATTGGAAAAAATGGTCAGAAAAGGAGCTTTTCAGTGAACAGTTATGCATAACTTGGCATTATTTGACTATCTCAATATTTTTTCTGTGTGCCTATTTGTTATTTAGGGGGCAAATTCTATCAAAGGCTTCCTGGCAATGGACTTGTTCCTTTGTTAACTGCTAGAGGCACATGCCACACACTTTAAAATATATATTCGTCACTTTTTGCAGACTGCCTTGATGCCAGTGCTAGTAATTTGTTATATACATAATTGCATTTTACCTCCAAAGTAGATTTTGGATTTTTTTGCTTTCAAGTGCACAAAGCAGTTTTACCTTACACTATAAATCTGTATTTAGTCTTTCCATACCCTTAGCAAAGAAAGCCATAAACATTATTTTCCTTTTCCATGTTTCTGTCATCTCTCTTTACGCTTCTTAGCAATAAGCTTATTTGTTAGTTAGTGGTGTAATGTCATGGGATATGACATTGCCATAACATTGCCTAATTTATTATGAGAAGACATTATTAAAGACCTCACTTAATTCACCATTTTCATTGAGAAAGCCAACAAACATAAACTGTAGTGCATTAGTGTACATGCTACCTCTGTATTTGCTTTGGCATCCCTGTTTCATCAACTGAGTGTGCCACAGAAGTTACTAAGCCTGTTCCTGGAGAGAAGGTGAACATCACACTGCCTGGCCAGTTCTGTACCCGAAAGTCACTGTTAGAGCTGATGGGTTCATAGGACAATGGGGATGATGAGGAAGGAAAAGGCACTTTATGAGCAAGGAAACAGGATAGTTTGATCCTTTTCCAGATCTTTCAGGGACTTGCTAAGTGACTCTGGGAACAATTTGACCTCTTCCCCCCCCCCCCCCTTACTTTTTCACTTAACATGGGAGGCTTATATTACTCAGCTCTTGGAGGTGTTATGGGGTTAACTGTGTGAGGTCAAATATGAACACTGATTAACGTTTATAAAGAATTTTGGGATCATCAGACAGAATGTGCAAAGGTGCAGCCTTCATAAAACACAAAAGCAACATGAAAATGATGAATAGTTAATCACCAGAGCATTTTACGAAGTGCTACGATGCCTTGTTCTTAATTGTAAATGTTTTAAATCAGATTGACTGTTTTCCTAAGTTGTATACTGTAGTTCATTCGCAGCTACTGGACCAAGATGGAATTAATCACCACAAATCCTACATTCTTCATTTATACATGAGGCCAAATTAGAGGCTCACCATGTCCTCTCTGTCCTTAAAATATGTTCTGTTGCAGATCTGCCCTGTCACTTAGCTATATTTTGGAGCAGGTATTGAATCTGAAAGAAGGATGGTCTGCAGGACTGTAGAGGCCAGGAATCATTGACTAGAACAAAGAAATGCTTTTAAAAAGCATTATCTTCTGCTATTTTTTAATATGCCCAACATGATGTATTATGAAACTGAGCATTACAAAACATTACTGCAAGTGAACCTATCTCATTTCCAATGACAGTTTTTGGTTCCTCAGGCCTTGCTTTTAACTTTAGCACCGTAATTATTGTTCACATCTAATTATGAGTTTTTATTATTAGCAGGGTAAAGAAGCACAGAGAAAACTCATCAACTTGACTCAACTGTCAAAGAGGGCCTTGACTCAACTGCAAAAGAGTGCCTTGACTCAGCTGCAAAAGAGTGACTTGACTCAGCTGCAAAAGAGTGACTTGACTCAGCTGCCAAGGAGTGCCTTGACTCAAATGCCAAAGAGTTCCTTGACTCAACTGCCAAAGGGTGCTTTGGTAGATACGGTTGACATGAAGAGAGGATCAGCACCATCTTTAGATGGATTTGGATGGGAGGTGAATAATACCCGTTTCTACAGATATCATTCAAGAGAGAGAAAATGACCTTGGGAGAACAAGAAGGGGGAGTTAGGTTTTGAATACTGTTGTCACATAGTTCTTCAATAACTGTTCATTCTTCCACAATTAGCTTCACTGTTTTAAGTTTACCTACCTGACAGCTGATTTTTTTTCCTTCTTTCTTGATTTTTTTTAAGATTTAGGTACTGAGTACTATTAATGGCTGACAGCATGTTAAGCTCTTACGGTGTATAGATTAAAAAAGAATCTGTTTGTAAAGATAAATTGAAGAAAAGATAGTTCAGTTCCAGAATAAGAAGCTTTTCATTACTTGTGAAATTCCTGTCCTGAAAGAATTCAGTTTGAGCTAGAGTTCTGTTCTGTTCATATGTCAAAAACTGAAGCAGAACTCCTTCAGGAAATCTAGGTATTTGAAAATCTGACAGCAAATACTACTTTAGGACTTCTTCCATAACAACTCTCACTATGCATCTAACCTATAGTGAAAAGTTAACAGACATTTGATTGGAGAAATGGGAAGAACAGACATGCTACCTGGGGCATATGAAGGGATCATTCATGGCTGAGTTGGCACTGCCATAACATAATGGAGAATCTGTGCAACCACATAATCCCAGCTATGCTATGTGATGCAGGAGTAAATCCCACTTTAGCCACTGCTTGAATTCTACAGAATGCTTCTCGTGGCATTATGTTAGTGATGAGCAGAATATAGAAATGGGCAGTCTGAAATACCCCCAAAATCTGAAGCAAATTGCATAGTTAAGCTTACACCCTTGTCCCTTAAATGGACCTTTTTACTTTTGCTCATACCTATTTTTTTTATTTTTTTTTTTTATTTTTTTTTGTTTTTAAATTGAGTTGAGCAAGCCAGTATATCCATGGCATACGCTTAAGCCCTCAAGAAGAGGCAAGTAACTACAGAACAAACAATAATCTTTTAAAGGGCAGTTTCTTTTTTCTTCTCCGAGACCCTTTCTGCTATAGGAAGGTGCTAGAAGTTCTACTGAGTTGTGATATGACAAATTGGCCCCAAACTTCTCATGCTGTAAGGAAAAAAATTGGGTTGAATAAAAATGCAGTTCCCAACTGTTTTAGGAGAGTGACCTAATATTTACATGTAACCTGAACTGTGGTTGTTGCAATGCAAAGAGCAACATTTGATCCTTAGAAAAAGAAAGGATGATGTCTCCAGTTGATTAGCCTCTAGTGGTAGTAGCATTCTGCTAGAGAAGGCAGGCAGAAAGAACTGAGAGGCTAATGAGACCTTAAATGATTTGAGAAAGGACATGCTCAAAGGACGTGACAGGGAGATAAAATCAAGTCCTCAGTAGCACAAATGACAGATATTTTGGGAGGGGAAAGATCTGCTGTATTTAGGTTTAGAAGATGAAAGGAGAGCAAATAAGACAGACCAGGGATGGAGAATAAATGTAAACATTGCATCTGTCAAACTTGCTTAAATCATGGTGTTTTGAGATTTGCTTATTTGGAGCAATACTATTTTTCATATGATTCCAATACTCTAATGAAAAGAATCTTCTTAATAATTGTGGTTATCCAATAACAGGGTTTTAACATAAACAAGTTTTTTATCTCACTGTTGATATGGGCCAGGAACTACAGTGACATGTTCTGAAGGCTGATGGTGTTTAATGGTTCTTGCAGGCTTCCTGGTCCTATTCCAAGTACATAGAAGCCTTGGAGCAGGAGAGAATACTCATTAAAAGGGAAGAAGATTTGGAGGAAACCTCATCATCATTCCTTTCAGGTTATTAACCTGTAGTTTATTAGGACAAGCTTATAGCTTAGGTGAAATTCTCTCAGTATAAGGACTTTGCTTACTCTTCTTTTGAGTTTCATACGTAAACCTCTGCCTCTCTTTTGCTGTCCACAGGGGAGTTGCTCTCTGCACCATACTAGTGAGTGATAAGTTTTCTAAGAAAGGGACAGTAAAAGTTGCAAGGTATCAGCATTGCCTTTACTGCAGAGGTCCTACTGAAGAGGGGGATTCAGCCATCCTTCATTTTGCAGTGTCGTGGCAATCACACACACATTTCACCTCCCTGGCTTTTTGTGCTTCATCAACTTACATACAAGCAGATACTGAAACTTCTTTCTACCAGTTTGTCAGTATGTTTCTGGGGGATGTGAGAGGCATTGCTTCATCCTGGTTTCTGCCATGAATATCCTCTTAGGTCTTCCCCAAGGATATTATGACCTGTTTGCTTATTAAATTCCTGCATTTATCAGTAGGGCTAGCAATAGCACTATGTAATGTTAAACTCCTTCGGTTTCACATAATTTTAATTATTTTTTTCCATGTGCAGATTCCTTGTCTATGTCCTCCCTGAAGCCTGAAAGTTCTATGAAAGCTACCATTTCTACAAAGCGTAAACTCTCAAATGTTCCCAAGACACAGGAAGTGAGCACCAGACTGCCAACAAGTGTACTTTGAAATGTGCATTCTTAAAAGCTAGTTTTCCTGCTGTCAGTGCTGATGCTCATTAGTAGCAAGTTATTTCACCCCAAGTCATGTTTAAGTGAAGCTCTACAGCCTCAATGTGAAGACAAGATTATTTTTCATTTCAGCCATGGTTAGCGGACCTGACGTTGACCTGATGGAATTTTTTTGCAAAATGGTAGTATCTGAAATGAGGCTATCTAAGCTTTCCAGTTCAGGTATTTTAACTAGGAGCATGAGATGACTAGAGAAATCTCAGACCCCATGGAGTTACTGGCAAGAATCTGACACAGAACTAGCAATAGATCATCTCTACCAAAGCCAACTAAATATTAGAATAAGAGAAAGAAGTAGGACAGCAAAGAGATCTGATAAAGACAGAAAAACATATTTTGCTTCAAAGCTTGAATTCCTAGAAGGAATAATATCCCGGAGGTTTTGTTTTGTTTTTTAAGCCTATGCTGAAATTATATGGACTTAAGAAAATTAATACAACTTGGACTATTGCTTCCCTTCCTTCTCTGCTCCTCCTTTCTCTTCTAATTATGTACTAAGCACAGCTATTTTAGGCAAATTGGTGTCCTGCCTTCACTAGTCCTCCTGAATTTCCAAATGTCTGAACATAAGCTTCCTGTGGCAGTATTTTCTGTATGTGACTTCAGAGAAAACTGCAGCATTCCTTGGTCTTCCCTCACATTCTCTTTCTGCCCTCTTATCATGTCCTCTAGTTGCAGTTAAAGTAATCCAGCTTCACAGGTGTAACTATATTTTGTATATCTCTGCCTTCTGTACCACTGTTCTGCCCCCCATGTCATGGTTGGGGAGTCCTGGCACAGGGCCTTTGCTCCTGCTCTGTGGATGAGAAACCTCGAGGTGGGCCCCGTGACCAGAGGGCCCACACGGCAGCTTCAGTCCTTGCTGCAGACCAGCCCAGATATCCTGTTGTTCCAGACCTGAGAGCTGCATTCTTGCCAGGCATCAGGCTGTGCTACAGGCTAATGCAATGAGAAATGCAAGATCCTGAGTGATTTGAGAGGTCTCCCCCACCAGCTTCAGTTGCAGCCCACTCTCTAATGCCGCTGGAAATTTGCCTGCCCTGCTCAGTCCCTCATAATAGCTCAAGTGTTCCTACTGCCTTTGAGTGGTTTCCTCTTCTTCCATCATGACCCTTTGGGCATTTGCCTCAGCTGTGCTACACGAGACCACTGTTGCTCTTGACGGGCAGCTTCCCTCCAGTTTGTTACAGAGGTCACACCTTGTCTGTTGGGGATAAATGGCAAAGTGCTGGCAGGAGGAGGGCTGTGAGCAGAGGCCAGGGCTGCCCTGTTTCAGGCACAGCCAGTTCCAGTTGGCTCCAGTGGACTTATCATAGGATATGGCTGCTCCCCTCAGCCAAGGTGGTGGCAACTTGGGGAAATACATTTTAGAAAGAGCAAAGAAATCCAGAGAGGGAAGGATGGAATAAAAAGAGTGATAAACAACAGAGGGAATACCAAGGCCAGAGGAGGAGGCTGGGGAGGAGGTTGAGGAGGAGAAGGTACTCTGTGTTGGAGCAGATATTCCCTCAGTCTGTGGAGGACCCAGGCTGCAGCAGAGGAAAAGAGTGAGAAGGAAGAAGGAGCTTCACAGTGCCTCACCAAAGGGACTGAGGGCAACCTGTGGTGATAGCAAGGAGGGGAGGAGAAGTGCTTGGAGTGAACTTGAACCTGGGAAAGGCGGAGAAAAAGTGTTTTCTCTAAGTGTGTAAATGCTAGTTTCTTCTTCCCCTCCCCACCTGAATCAAAAATGATTTATTCTAATTGGCAATACATTAATTTCCCCAGTTTAAGGTTTTGTTTTGCCTGTAACAGTAATTGGTAATCTATCTTCCTGTCCTCATCTTGACCCAAAACCTTTCTCTTTTCTATTTTTCCTGGTTTTCCCCTCTGTCCGGTTGCGTGGTGGTGGAGGGTGGAAATGAGTGAATGAGCAGCTGGGTGGGAGACTGGCTGCTGGTGAGGGCATGTCCCACCACACCTTGTCTCTCTCTTTTTGATGCATTTATTGAAGAACTGTTCTGATTACTTCAACTGGCTACAACACAGCAATGACATTCTGTTACCTTTTCAGGCACTTTAAATCTCTCTGAGGAAGGGAATGCAGAGACATTCAATGGAGGTGGCCAGGAGACATAAATATAACGTTCATGCAAGGTTTGTTCTTACATTTCCAGAGCAAAGATGATGACTTGGAATATTATTAAGAACCATGGGATAATTATCAAGTGTAGAAAATAAACATCTTCCAATGTATTCCATACCAACTTGACTGTGATACTGACACCTTGAGGCTCAAATCAGAGTAAGATTCCACTGAAGTATGCAAGGCACACACTACTAGGTAGTCTCAGTCTTAAAGATCCTATAATCAAACCCAGTTCTTCAGTACTTGATCTAATGAATAAGTAAAACACTGCATTGAACTGACAACCCTGAAGCAGTGTGTCTTGGCACACTACGCTCTCACTGTGCAATTCATGCAACTTCTGTTCATCAAGGATAACTCCTGAGGTCTGTGAGTTATTATAAAGTCAAACACTGTTGGGGTTTGCTCCCAGTTCAGTCTAATTCCTGGTCCAAAGAACACCTTCTGCCTCATTTCTGAGTTTTGATCCACAGGAAAGGCTTAAAATCTATCAGGACACAGATGGGATTGAGAACTTTTCTAAAATGTCATTCCACCCAAGGCATTACTCACCAGACAGTTGCAGGAGCTCATAGCTCTTGTGTAGCTCTCTCTATTTTTAAAAAGTTTTAAAAAGACTTGGGGCACAGTTGATGTTGGGACTGAGGACAACGGATTAATTGGGGATTAATTAAAAGAGGGCAGGGGCAGAATTAACTGCTAGGCAAGGGGCAGGATGATGATAGACCTCTCCACATTTTTCATACCACTTTAAATACCAGTCGCCAGCCACAAAGTTGTTGGCTCCACTTTTTCCTGCATGTAAAAGAAAGGCAGGTTGCTGAGTTGCTGAGGACTAGCCCTGAGTTAGGGATGGGACTGTGTTCTGCTGCTTGTTCCAACCTCTTGGACAAGAAGAACAAGCCATGCAGCCCTGTCTCCTTTGTCAGAAGTAAAGGTTCTTCACTTGGAGCTCTTAGACCATGCTGCTAAGGACCGTTCAAGAGTGCTTTCCCCCTCAATGAGGAGTGGCAACTAACGTCAACTAACAGTCTTTTGCTCTTGTCACAATGACCAAAAATTGTAAGGAATTTCCGTTGGGTGTTGCTTCAGACAGGCTGGCAGGGAAGGAAGACACTTTATTTTATGGACATAGCTGCCCTGCACATATATTCTCACAGAAGGAGCAAGGAAGATCACTGGTTCAGTTCCTGCTTCCCCACAGTTCAGAGTTTGCTTCATGCATGCCATGTTTGGGTTGTTTGCTCATCTGACATTACCTGAGGAAGATACCTTGGTTGGAAGCCACAAGAGAGTAAAACATTAAACACTTGTCTCTGTTTTTTATGTTTTCCCAAATTTCACAAATGCAGCAAACTTTAATGCTCAGTACATCTGAGGAGGGTGGAACACAGCATCTTGTAATGAGCACAGCACATGTGGTACTGTGTGGCCTACCACTCATTAATGTGAAAGGCAAAGAAGATTCACGAAATGCCATGAATGCACTGATGTATGTCAGTCTAAAAAGCATGTGGAAGGCAACCTTCTATTGCTGTGGTCAGTACAGTACACGCAACCAAAAGCTGAAATGTGGCAGGCAGTTTCTGTTTTGCTGTATTCTTGCCTTCAAGGCATTTTGAGGCAGTTAAATAATGTGTAGATATTACTTATCTGATGCTGGTAGTTACGATTGAATAACACTTCAATTACTTAAAAAATTAAAAATATTATCCAGATACTTGTCTCCTCATGAATATGTTCCAGCCTTGCCAAATTATTAATAAAAATTTACCAGCAAATTTACCTCAAGCAAAAACTACTGTCCCAGACAGTTATTATGATTTATACCATACATCCCTATCAAACTTAAAAAAAACCCAAAAGAAGTACTTAGTGTACATCAGTGAGTGAGTAGAGTTTTGGCCCTATTCACTCAAAGTTCTGCAAACTGAAGCTTACTCTCAATCCAGTTTGCAGTTCTGTCTCCCTGTTAAGTGAAATATATATGTGTGCACATACACACACATGCACTACCATTTATAGGCCATGTCTTTGGTATGCAGTTAAGAAGGATCACATGTATTAGTAATGCTAGAACTACATGTAATGTAATATCATTATTTCCATTTTATATGTTAATTTTAAAGAAATATTGGGCGATTGGACAGGGAATAAATTAGGAGACAGGGACCCTTTAATTTCAGTGTTATTGAATCCAATCTGATGCAATGGCAGATAATTTGGAACTGCTACTTGGTGATACACCTGAAATGGAATACTGGTGTTAGTCTCATCCCGTGGGACCAATTCCAGCAGAGAGCCTGAGAACTAACCAAATGTTATGACTCTAAATGATGATTCTGTATCACTTCAGAAAACTTGCCTTGCTGTTGATTTTGTCTTGTTCTTCACATCTATTCTCCCTCAGATTGCTGATCTACCACCTCTATGAGCTCAGCAGTTTTAAAGGGCTTGAAAAGTTTTTCTCAACAACCCTAGCACCTCTCCCTTTAAACAACTAAAATTTATTCCTTGTTTATTTGAAGTATGTATACTTTCAAACTTTCAGAAGTCTATGTGGAATTTACTGCTCCAGACAATAAAACCAATCATCTTTTTCAGAAACCTGTAAACACAGAAAAATCTTCTGAGTATTTCCATAGATTTGGGACCCTCAGTTTCCTGCTGTTGAGAGCACTGAAAAATGGCAGGTGTCCCTTCATTGCTCCTTTGGTGCCTTATCCAGTGTTATGGGGGACATTTTCTATCACTTGCATGCTTGTGAAATGGCCCACCTCAGTCCCACCCAACAGGTACTGAAAAGAGACCAGATGTTTCAAAGTTCTGTCCCGAACTTGGAAAAGAAAATCCTTAAATTATTTATGTTTCTAATGTTAAATACTGGGCCAAACTGATCACTGTAAATCTGTATTTGGCCAATGGAGCTGTAATCCAGCTTGAATTTGACCTATTTAAACTGTCCCACTACATTCAACTGATGATTTTTGTTACAAGAAATGTTTTTAGCCAGCCATTGAGAATCATGAGAATCATGCAGCTAAGATGGGGTTAACTGGTATTTTTTCTTAAGCTTATGGAACACTGTTGGTTTTAATATATTCAGTAGTTGCTGTAAAAATGTTATGGAAAGACAGGTTTGAACAAAAATTTTAGATCCGAATGTGTAGTTACAGTTCAAACCTACCTCTAATGGCCTGATTTGGAGCATTCCCAGGATTTCAGAGAGTTATAATTCACATCTGTGTTTTTAACTCCTTCATGCATGATTGTTTGAATGTGCACTTTTGGAACAGGTCCACGTCTAATAGGCTAAATTGTAGGTCCCAAATCAGAAGCCACATGGTATAGCTATATAGTTTTTTATTTTTCCTCTTATAACATAGTCTTCAAATAAGGTTCTGTTAGTCCAGCACATTGGATTAATACAAAACACCAAAGTCTACACTTTCTGCCTACCTGCTAATGAACTCGCACATTTTGATTTCTACCAATGATTTAGTAAAGCATTTGTGCAATGGCCACAATGGAGACTTTTCTGCCAAGTAATAATTTATCAGAGCACTGAAGCAGATTTGAATCATGCAGGACGACTAAGCTGTCCTAGTATGGTAAAGGGTAGTCAAGGTAGACATGAGATTCTCTTGGTTTTAATACTCATTGAGCCAAGCTAATTTATATGTCAAGCACAAGCTGCATTTACTCGGATTTTCCTCTATTTCTCTACTAATTAAAATATTTTAGTTTCGTGGTAACATATGTGAAAGCGTTGACAACAGCATTGCTTATTCCACATGTTAATTATGTATTTGCTCATAGCACGCTGATGAACTGTGTGCATTTCTCACGTTAAGATTTGATTTTATATCAAAGGAAAAATGGAAATGTAGTAAGTGGATTTGTGCTTTTGATTTTAGATATTTCATTTTGTTCTAAACAATCTTGTATGATTCCTCTGTACCACATGTGTTTGAAAATCTTTTGTTGGCAAGAAGTTAAAGAAGAAAGTAATACTTGCTTCTCAGAATAGGATTTTTGAACAAAGCAAGGCAATTGTGCTATTAATGAGAAAGCTAAATGAAACAAATGACAAGGCAAGCAAAAAAACCACACAGCATCACACTCAAGGAATTCACAGGCACACAATAGCTTATGCAATAGTCCTCATCTGACAAAGTCAGTTAATACAGAAATTTCCTTAGAAATATTCATCGCAAAAGGCTGTGGTGCCTATGGTTCAGTAAATGCATTCAACAAGCTTACAGCATTCTTAGCAGTTTTCACCTGTAGGCAGTTCAATGAATTTTATCCCAGCTGCGAGCCTCAAATGATCAGCACTGGGTTTGTAAACCCCAGACCCTGATTGGCTTGGATACCACTCATTCCTGAAAACAGTACTTTGGGAATTGAATTTGTCACATCTCTAGAATAACTTACACCTTTACAGTTTTGTGTGTGCATAAGTGTGTACAGGCATGTAGACGTATATATACACACACAATACACAATACAACATATGCGTAAAATTACCTTGTTTGGTAAACTGCTTTATTGTCATAATCACAAAGGGCTTAAGTTTGATGTATATCATCTTTTTCCTTATGCAATATTCCAACCATTTTCTTCTGTGTATTTTTTTTAAATGAAGGTCTTTGTTTCATTAAAATGTTTGGGTTTGTACTTACTTGCATTTGAGAAGACAGAGCCATTACACTTGCTTTGTTGAGGAGTATGACTCTTTCCAGAGGGCTACACAGATGCTGGAAAGAGAAATAAATGTGTTTTGGGGGAGTTCTTTTTCTTCTAGAAAGCATATTCAAGAAAAAAAATTAACTTTCCCTGTGTTTTTTCTCACAAATGAGAAAGTAATTTACAGCATGTGTTGGGCCATTCACTAAAGACTACAATAAATGATTTACTATTTTCAAGCTAACGAAGTGAATACTTGATCTAAAAAAGGAGAGTGTGTATGATTATGTTCATTTTCCATTTATGACCTTCCAGTTCAAAGATCATCTTAACTTCTGGCTGCCTGATCTCTGTAATTTGCTGAATGTATTGAAACTCATTCTCTTAATTCATGTCTCCAGAGGTGCTCAGCACCTGGCAGTAGTAGGCCTTCAGAAAGCTGTCCAAAGGACAAAAGCAGTGACTTTTTTTTTTTTTTTTGAGTGAAACACCAGGAAAGGATGGCTTTGTCACTGCAGTTCCACACAAAAGTATATTAAAAAATAACATAACAAAACAAAATCAAACCACAGAAATACCTAGTTTTGGTTGGGCTTGTCAGGGTAATGTAGTACTAATGGAAGATTGTATTACAAGACAATAGTTCTGTTTGGAAACAAACTGCCCAGAGAGCTTTTGGTGTCTTTACTGTCATCAGAGGGGCTCTAAAAACAGATAAGTTATGCACATCTGCCAGGAATGACTAAGTATTTTCGGACCCATATTGGGGCAGGGGAGTCAGTAGATCAACTCTTGAGGGACTTATTTTCTCTGAATCCTTATTCAGGTTGTTCTGAATGCAAAAGCGTAGCCTCTGCTAAGGAATCTTACGAGAGTCAAGGGCCGTGACACTTCATTTGCTCTGCACCCGAAACTCCCACTGAAGCCAATTATTCAATCTAATTTAACAAAGACCACAGCTTCTCTGGCTGTGCAATTGTTGGTAACCATCAACAAACTGATTCATCTACAATTGGGCCAAATGTTACAAAATCTGTTTCTGAGTTCTTGTTTGTACCTCCATCATAAGATTACACCAAAATTAAAGCATGCAGTACTTGAACTAACTTCAAAGGCTTAGCTTGCACTTCTAGCTAGTTCAGCCTTTTTATTGGTTCATGTTTTCCATTTGGCTTCAACATTCTGTTCCTTACTGATGCCCTTCTAGAGTTTCATTTGCAAATATTACATCCCTGGTTAGTGAGCCATGCTAATTAATACTGTGGTGGAGGCTATGGATTATAGTAATCTCATGCCTCCTGCTTGGAAAAACACTGCAATTTTTCCAGACGTTTACATGTAATGCCATATTGAATATGGCCAAATTTGTCTCAGAAAAATGTATCCTGAACTCATTTAACCAAAATATATTTAAGTAAGGTTGCTTATGCTGTTATCTATTGCCAGTTTTGTTAATCATGAAGCTCAAAAATTTCAATGCTGTAGAAACCTGAGACCCACAATTTTCTAATTAGATTATTTCAAACAAAACATTAAAGTTAAAATAGGCTCATTTAAGTATACATATTTTTAAAAGTTTATGCCAATAACAAGTTTGTTAAAAAAAAACATGAACAGATGATTTGTCTACTTCTGGAAGCCTCACACCTTTGACTGTGCCTCACCTTTCAAACCTGGGACCACAATCTGACATGGATTTTAGCTCCACTGGGGATTTTGTAGTCAGAGACTGCCTGAATTCTGGGACTTAAAATGTTGCCAAGGTTATGATTGTAAAGAAAATCTATTATATTTGCAGTACCATCAAATATCAAATAAAAGCTATGGAGCCCTTACAAAACATAGCAATCCTAAGTCGATAGATTATTCCAATAAAGAAATAAACAAAAGAAATGGCATTTTTTTTTTTAGGAAGAATCTCTTATTAGACCAGGTAATGTAATTGGAAACAATGAACAAGCTTTCAGGCTCACAATTTTTTCACCAGATCTTAAAGAGGTCGAGAAATACATCATCTCTGGGTTACTTGTTTTATTTTGGGTTTTTACAGTGTTCATTAATTCTCTTTTCATAAATGGACATGATTCGGTCGACGTGACTGAACTATGATGAGACAAGGTACAACAAATCTGAGACACCCCTCACTCCTTCTAGACTCTAATTTCAGACACAGCAATGAAAACTTGCCAGCATCTCGTAAGGCTTACAGTGTCATCACCTCAATGTGAATTAAAACAGACTAAAATGAGATGTTCAGAAATCCATGAGAAAAAGTCTAAAAACTTGTCACAGAAACCAATTGCAAAGTGATACTTTATACATAACCTGAGCCAGTCTTTTTTTGTCAGAATGAGCTCTGTATTGTAATAGGTAAATCAAATAAATGGCAAAGATATCTCTAGGTTAAATCCTACAGTTGTAAATGTTTAGGTATCACTCTCTCAGGGTGCAGTCCCCAACCTGAGCAAGACCCTTCTCCTCTCTCTGCAGCTCTCTCCTCTGAGAGAAGCACACTGAGCCAAGAGCTGCCCAGAGCAAGTATGTTGGGGTATGTATGTAGTGCCCTGTGGGGAATGAGTCCAATCTTCTATTTGAAAGAGACTTTCCCACTTCACAGCCACTGTCTTACACCCATGGGGAAGTTGTTCTATTATTTTCTGTGAGAATTTTTTCCTTGAACAAAATTATAGCTGTGTGAACAGCAGCAGTTTACCACTTTCTGCTTTCCTGGAGGTCTGTTGATCACTGGTCACATCTAGGAAAAACAGAAGCTAACAAAGGGTCTGGCCTAAATCCTATTAAAGTATGAGGAACACTCCTTGTTTCAATGGCTTTGGATTACTGAAGGGTACACATGAATCTTCTGCTCAGACTTACTGTAATGCATCCATGATCAAGGAGGGAGCACGAGTAAATGTACCAGGTG